CGCAGTGGAGAAAGATTATTCAGGCTCGCATAGGAAAATATAGCATTGATGATTTGCTAAGGAACCGTAACGCTAGGCACCTCGTTAAAAAGTCGAACATTCCTGATTTTTATAAACAAGTGGTCGGCCAGTATCAAGAGTTATTTTATAAAGAACCTTGCGAAGCCCTCCAAGCAAGAGCTGAATCGATTTGGTATAATGACACGGTATTAATTGGAGGGAAGCCTGCCTTTCAAAAGGAAATGTATGAAGCTGGCATTAAAATAGTAGATGACTTAGTTGAGCCCGATGGAAGTATGCTAAGCTTCAGTCAACTGAAGGAAAAAATGCCACAATTAAGAGTTGACTTCCTCACACTGCAGAGCATAAAAAATGCAATACCGTCCAAATGGAAACAAATGGTTAGGCTAAACACCAGGGCTATGCTGGACCCAGATGATAGAAAATGTTGCCTTATTAACCCGCGCCCCGCTGGGGGTCCTGGATTTCCACGCCCTGCTGGGGGGGGGGGGTGTTTGAACACCCCCCCTTATAACTCGGCTCCTGGGCCACGTAGCGATACGCGGAAGGCGGCGTTCGAAAGAGCGTAAAAAATAATGACGAAATCACTTCGGTCAATTATTTGGTCAGGTCAAAGGTCAGGTCACCAGAGGTCATTGAAGGCAAAATTTCGCCGATTTCCAGGTCGAATGTCGAAAATTTCCAAGAAGCTAACGCATAACTCGGGAACCAATAGAGCTACAGCGCCGCGGAAAAGTGCATTCGATAGCCCTATTAACGCCCTTTCTGAGTAATTCTCTCAGATTTGACCTAACGTCAACGGTTTTGCCTGCAGGGGGCAAAAACGGCAAAAAAAGCCGATTTTTTCGGAAACAGTTTTTCTGCAATAACTTTTGACCCAAGCCTTGTACGAGCTTACTTTTACCGGTATCGTGTTCCTCTCGTCAAGACGCATCGAATGAACTATAACTTGACCTTGAAAGGTCAACTTGAAAATTTGACCTCAGGTCAAGGTCATGACCTGACCGAAAAGGGTCATGTTGCATATCAGTCGATCCGTATCGTCGAGCTGAACACATATAAGGCGTTTTCATCGCTCTAGCATGTCTCTATCAAAAGTTATTTGCGAAAAACTGTTAGATACCATTCGTGACCTAAGATGACCTCAGGGCACAAACAAGGGTCACGGACACCATTTTCATGTTCAGTGTGTCTAAACCACTTGTAATTCGGTGTTTGGGAGTGTTTATAATGTCCTTCGTCCAAAAGAGGCGCATTTCAATTTTCTCCCATTGACTTATAATGGGGAGGTCGCAAAATTGACCTGACCTTAGGTCATCGATATCAAAATTCTGAGATATACATTTTGTACATGCTATTGCTCTTAGCAATCGCTGAAAGTTTCAAAGCGATCGGTCACTCGGTGTAGCTATGACAGACATTGAAACTTTTTATGAGGTGAGGTCACTTCAAGTGACCTGGTGACCTGACCTTGAATGACCTTGGTCTGAAATTTTCACAACATGTGTAGAATTGATGTATGATAAGGTGTACCAAAAACGGCGGCGCTCCGCGCCGCCGTTTTTGAGATATTCGCGAAAAACCACAAGGGGGGGTGTTCAAACACCCCCCCCAGCAGGGCGCGGGTTAATGTGAGTGCCACTTTGAAAGTTTGTTTGAGGGCACTCATGTGTAATCACATATACAGAAAGTTGTTAACGATTAAAACACCTACCGCTCAATGCAAATGGGAACAAGAGGGCATTTCTTTTGATTGTTGGGGAGATATGTACGAGATACCGTACAAAGTAACAACGTCTACTAAATTACAATCATTGCATTTTCGCATTATACACAGATATATTCCAACACGTAAATTCCTATGTTCACGAAACATTATTGGTAGCAGATTATGCCTGAAATGTTTTGAGGTAGATACGCTCGAACATTTCTTCTATCGCTGCACTGATGTTCGCGAAATCTGGGATAAGGTGCTATGTAAGATAACGGCGGCCTTTCGACTTCCAAACAGTTTCGTAAACGCCAAAACGGTGCTTTTCGGTAGTGCGTCCAGTCCAAATATAATTAACTTAGTAATTTTATTGTGCAAGCAGTATATCGTAGCATGTAAATTACAAAACAATTCTACTCAACAACCAAGTGTAGAAGGTGCGATAAAAATGGTCATGAACCAACACGAAATTGAAAAAGCGATTGCCAAAAAAGATGGTAAGCTCGACCAATTTTGGGAAAAATGGGAAAAAGTCGTATACAGGAACCACGGATGCTTGTTTCAGTGAATATTGTCCGCAAATAAATTCACATGGTCGTTGTGCCGGCATTTGGACGTCGCGTGCATACTTTATGGCATGTGTACGCAGTGCGGCGCTACACTGTGCGCAGAGAAATCAGCCTCGACGCACGAAGCGTCGACGCGCGACGCGCGCGTCCGTTATCCGCCGGCCATCGGTCGTGACTTGCCGGCCCCCGCCGAAGTTAGTTGGTAGCACTGCTGCTCCACGGCGTACATTTCCTACCAGCCCATAGGGTTTACATGTTAAATGGCCTGTTTTCGGCGAGCAATATCTCGGTCAACCTTTGAAGGAATCAATGGTTCTTAGTCTCAAATGATAGATCGATGAATTTTCTTTCGACAATTCCTCTACCATTTTTCACGAAACCCAGCCGATCTTCTACGGCGTACAGGGTAAAGATTTCTCTGCACGCCAGCGCCCGCGATCCGCCTCTCCGATCGTCGGCGCGCGGTCCTCGGTAGCGCAGTCGGTAGCGTATCGGGCTACGGATCCGAGGGTCGTGAGTTCGAATCCTGGGAGCGCCGTGTGATTTCGGCTAGAATTGAATGATGTAGAATCTTGGATGTTTGCGTAATCAATTATTAATAGCTAATTGAATGTATCTGCGCACTAATCGGCCCCTAAAACCTGTTATTTAAGAAATTTAAGAAATGAATGTCACGTGCGCGTCACGACTGCCCACCATAAGCGCTACCATATTCTAGTTTGAACTAACTTTTTGCTAGTCCCGACCACATATAGTAGGTTTTCTAGTAGTTATACTAGAAATTCCTACTAAAGTTCGTCCTACCCTTCACTCAATATACCCTGTGACTTGCCGCCCAAAGCCTGTTTGGTTGGTGTCGTGAATGTGGGCCAATGTCATGTTTATGTCCTTCTTTGATTGTGATTCGTGTAGCTTGTGTGTGTTGCATAAGTGATCTGTACGTCCTTGTGTTTCGTGAAATTTAATAATAAAGAGGTGAGAGAGAGAGAGAGAAAAAAAAATAAGCTGCAAGGAGTGCATCGAACTCCACAATCGGCTTTATTTTCATCGCTTTCATGGAAACAACTTAGTCTTATGCTTAAATGTTGGGTAAAACTTTGCAATATTCCACTCATATGATGCCCAAATGTACGACGTACAATTCATTTGAAGCCCATGCGTCGTTTATTATCAAAACTACATAACATGAAGAGCATCATAAACTTGGCAGGCTTTTTCTATTTGGTGGCCAGAACTCCATTAACACATTTCTAGATTTTGTATTTGCTGCGCAGCATTTGTCGACATGGCGGAGGCCGAACACGTGAAAGTAGATCGAGCTGGCATGTGAATCTGGCAACTCCTATGTAAACGGGGCTGTTATGATGGTTATGGTGATGAACGACATCCTCCTACTCTAACGAGGAGACAAGCGTACGTATTGTTACCAGAGTGTTTATCCATGGCAAATTAATGTATATGGAGTGTTATTTTGACTGTTGAAAAAAGCCAGGCATAAAAGATACCGGTCGTTTATGTTACTTTCATTTTCAGTTCTTTATCTCTAAGTTCATAACCATTTTATAGTTCGCTACTAACATTAACTACTGTCCTACCTGAAAATATTCCTCAATACTATATCCTGGTTCTATCCGGTACGCTGTTGTCTTTCCGTTCCACAACCACGCTTAGTACTCCATTGTCTTACCTACCAACTCTGAAGACATGAAAGTGGCAACAAGACATCTCAGTGGGGGAAACTGTGGTCAAATCTTCTATTTTTGGAAGCCTTCCATTTTTGGAAGGACCTTCCATAAATGGGTATGCATTTTCCAAAAATGGAAGGCTTCCAAAATTGGAAGGTCTAATCTCAGTGTTCCCAACTGTGATTCACATTCTTTGATTTAAGTTACGGCCTTTTTAAATGTGTAACATTAATAGTTGATTTTGCCATTTATGATCATTGATATAAGGAGAAGCAGCAGTGCTAGTGTTGGTAATACAGGCATGCTATGTCAATGTACATAGTGATATAATAGCATGGTGTCCTGGCGCACTGCTCTCTTTTTCTACTTCTAGAGGACACATAGAAATTCAGAAGAGAAAACAGCTGGTCAATAACCAACCAGGAGGAACACAGCTATAGCCCTGACAAAAAATGGTTTAAATTAAACTTACTATTCCTCATATAAATTGAAGATTCATGCTCCTTCGATAGAAAGTAACACGAAAAACGGCGCAGCAACGCCTATTTAATTCGTCCCATATTCCGGAAAAAACATTGAAAAATGACGAGACCTCCACCCAAATGTTTGGCAAAAGCCTTAAAAAATTGAAATCAACCACACAATATGCTAATAAATGCAGAAAACGGCAACAAATACAAGTTTTACTCGCCACTACACTCCCGAAACCGCCGCACTCTGTCCAGACAATTCCGCACTGTAAATAAAGTCGGCGGTATCGAACAAGCATGGCCCGTCACTAAAGTACTTTTAAGGATATTTACTTTTCGTTTTTGATGCTTTTTGCTTACAAAATGTTTGATAAAGTCTTATAAAACCATCGTTTGTCGGTAAATTTTTGTCAATTTTCCACGACTCATTACTTTGAAAAATTACCTAAAATACATCCACGCTAGGATTTAGGCATCCACGCTAGATTATGGACACTTCACTATGGCGAATAGAAAGCGACCAGGGGCGATAGTCGCATTTGCCTCATGTTCGGCGGAAATCGGTAAGTTCCAACATATGCGCAACATTTTCTATATTTGGGTACGATGACGTCGTCAGCGTACCCATTTTTGGAAGGTGCGTACCCATATATAGAAAATCCTTCCAAAAATGGAAGGCTTTCTAAAAATGGAAGATTTGACCACAGTTTCCCCGACTGATCTACGGACGCTCTGAGCCCGATGAGGCTATGCGCCCTAACCCACGACCAAGACCAAGACCAAGACCCGTAAAACATTTGTAAATTGATATATTATATATCTGAACCCAAGGCAGTATTATATATTTTGGTATATATATTTATATACAATGTAGGTATATGCCTCTGAACCTCTTCAAATTGAAATTATATTCAAGGCCATATAAATTATATTGTTCTCAGTCTGGTGAGGCTTGTTTTACACTGAAATGAAAAGCATTTAATCATGGTTTGTTCAATGCCCAACTTGAAGTCTTACCTACCAATCTTTTAAACGGTTCTCACTTTTTAAGTGAATTTGGGTAAATGATAACATAATAAAGCACCATCCAAGGCCATCTAGGTGGTGTTTCACGGGCTGCTGCTACCACGCTGCTATCAAATTGCGCGAGCTGACGTCACACTTGTGGTAGTGTTGGAGCAATGGGCCTGTTGATGTCTCCATGGAAACCCAATTTGACAAGTCGTAAAATCGGCGTGCTGCTATCACCGGTGAAACAGGGCCCTATAGTCTATGATCTATGGGCACTGTTGCTGTGTCTTCTTGTGTTGGTGCGTGTGCCAGAAGTTGTTGTTTTGGGGGTACAAGTAAGCCTGGCGTCCCAGGAAGATGCCAGATACCGCTGTAGGTGTAGGTTTGTAGGTTTGTAGGGTAGGTTGTAGGTTTGTAGGTTGTAGGTTGTAGGTTCGTGGTTGTAGGTAAGGTTAGGTCAGGTTAGGTTAGGTTAGGTTTGTATACTGTTGATAGGTGTAGGTTTGTAGGTTTGTAGGGTAGGTTTGTAGGTTGTAGGTTGTAGGTTTGTGGTTGTAGGTAAGGTTAGGTCAGGTTAGGTAAGGTTTGTTTTGGTCTATATATCTCCATCGTCCCAATCTGGCATCTTCCTGGGACGCCAGGCTTACTAATACCCTTTTTGGGTTAGGGTGCGTAGCAGCTTGGCTCTTGCGTCCAACGTGTGCCAGAAGAACATTCAAACATTGAATACATGCTAAAAAAGCATTGCAAGGAGGCAGTAGGTGACAAGAGGCTGGTCTGGTATAAGAACCTGGCAATTGGCATCCCAGGAGGCCTGGAAGATGCCAGATACTGTTGTAGGTTGTAGGGTAAAACTTCAGTTTTTTACATTAAAAAAAAAACGGTTGCAGGTTTGTAGGGTAGATCAAGATTGTAGGTTTTAGGTTTGTAGGTTTTATTGGTTGTGGGTTTATAGGTTGTAGGTAAGGTTAGGTCAGGTCAGGTTAGGTTTGTTTTGGTCTATATAACTGTCATCCCAATCTGGCATCTTGCTGGGATGCCAGGCTTACTAATACTGATACCGCTGGTCTTGCCCTTTCCCAGGAACATCGGCCAGAAGAGCATTTGAGCCATTTAAAAGTGCCTAGAGACCTTCTAGAACAATGAGAACCTTCTCAATATTGTAGCTTTTATAGAGTGTAGTGTAGTGTAGCTACTGTGGTTGCTCAAGAGCTTCATTCACTTTCATTCACTTCATTCACTCCACCCAGCTTCATCAAAATATCAATATGGACCAATGGAAGCCAATTAGCTGTTAAATGGTCGATGGCCATAGTCATACACCATTGCACGAGGAGAAAAGACACATTTTTTTAAATTGAGAATATGACCTTTCTTATTTTCTAAGTATTTTTGGACATTTATGCTATGTTACTGTAGCTTCTATGAAATATTAAGATTTCTTAGCACATTTTTGTATGTGAAAACATCTGAGTTTGTTGATGTTTCCATGGAAATCCAATGCGCCGATACACATAGTGAGCACTGAGCTATAGCGTCGAGCCATCTGCCATAGTTTTCAATATACCATGGTGCCATGAAACAGGGCACAGTCTTTTTGTGGTTGTTAACCCGCGCGGGGCTGGGGTCTCCAGCCGAACGCGCGGGGCTGGGGGGGTCATGTCATGTCATTCGAGGTCATTTTGAGTCGAAATTAGCTTAGGTCAGGTCAATTTCAGGTCAAAAAAGGTCAAATTTTGAAGTTGAAATTTTTCAACAAAAAAGGTGTCTATTGGATGCAGTTTGAGCTTAGGAACACGATGGTGCCATTTATATTGGTGTACGATGCCAAATACGTACTGAAAAATTGATTTGAAAAATTAATACTTGTGAATTTTTTTGCAATAATGCGTATAACTTGGCCATTTTTGAAGATATTTAGCTAAAACTTGCTAGAGTTAGTCATAATCATGAGTTCTGTCACATATATTCCGTTTTTTTTCGAAAAGTCAAAAACTTTTTGAAAAAAATATAAAAATATAAATTTTGAATATTATTATATAAAATTTTCGAAATTTTCAAAATTTTGAAAATCCGAGATAGCAGTTTGATAGCGCGGTCAATTCTGAGTTCTTTCATGCAAAGAAATTGGATCTAGCTTAAAAACTGAGCTCTTGGGAGCGATTGCCGTGGTTCAATGTTTTGCGTCGAAATCGGACGAACATGACGTCACTCTGACGTCATTTCCGGCCGACCTATGGTAGGTACGAAGTTCAAATTTTGACACAAGGTGTCAAATTGATGCAGCCGAAGGTACTGAAAGTTTGGCGTCGATCCGTCAAGCGGTTTGGAAGTTATTGCAGAAAAACGGGAGGGGGGCTATAAATAGCCCCCCCCCCCCCCAGTAGGGCGCGGGTTAACCCGCGCGGGGCTGGGGTCTCCAGCCGAACGCGCGGGGCTGGGGGGGGGGTAAATTTTACCCCCCCCCTGTTATCTCCCGAACTAACGGTCCGATTTGGAAAATTCAAACGCCAATCGAAAGCTCTCATCACGAACTACTAAAAACATGTACTTAATTTAAAGTTTGAGGTCAAGGTCAAGGTCAGGTCAAGGGTACAAATTGCAAGTTACTACAGTATCGGCCTTGCACCGTAGTTGCCGAAGAATGGAGTCATGGACTGAGACTGATCGCCCAAAACGTGTTCTTAGGCTACCAAGACAATATTCGTTGCATACAATATCATTCAGAGGTCAAGGTCAAGGTCAGGTCAGGTCAGGTCACCGAAAAACAAAATATAGAAAAGGGCATGTGCGACACATGTTTTATGGGTCATTTTACTCATAGAATTCAATAGGCACACTCAATAAGTGATATGGACCACCTCTGGATGAATTTCAGGTCGAGGTCAGGTCAAGGTCAGGTCAAGTGAGGTCAAATTTTGAAGTTGGTTGTTAAGGCCTAAAAGGTGTCTGTCTGATGCAGTTTTTCATGGCGAATCGAATGGTGCTATTTTTGTTTCCGTACGAGGTCTACAACTTCCAAAAAAGTCATTTTTCAAAAATTTTGTGTGTCGTGACGTCATAAAATTTTGAATAACTCCCATATTTTTGAACCGATTCTTCTAAAATTTGGTATGTAGGTGCACATAGACCACTTCTTTGACATATTTTCCGTTTTTTTCGATAGACTCAAAATTTTGGATTTTATAATGATTTTCCCAAAAAAGTCAGTTTTTTGAAAAAATTTAGGCCAAAATCCAAAATTTTCAAAAAACCGAGATAGCCATTTGATAGACAAAGTAAAATTACGTACAACCTTTTTTGTAACGTCTTGATTCCTTTAAAAATGAAGATGTTAGCGGCGTTTGAACTTTTGCCGTTTTTGAGGCGAAAATGACGAACATGACTTCACTAAAACATCAATTTCTCAAAAATTTTCTGACGGATTTCGCTCAAATTTTCAGGGAACGTGTCAAATTGATGTGAGAAAAGGTACTGAAAGTTTGGCGGCGCTGCGCGCCGCCGTTTTTGAGATATCGCAAAAATTCGCGAGGGGGGGGGGTAAAATTTACCCCCCAGCCCCGCGCGGGTTAATGTTCAAACATGTGAAATAATACTGGTCCCCTGTATTATAGTGGGTGATGAGGTCACATGAAGGTCAGGTCAGGTCATTGACCTTCGATTTTGTTGGCTCACTTTTAAGTTTTACATGTTCTAGGGTAGTTTTTGAAGATGATTTCGATTTTAGCACCCTGTTGAACATTTACCTACGAATAAGAAATTAATTGTGATATAAAAATTAATTGATATATAATAGATATAATAATAATACTTAAAGTAATAAAGAAATAATAAAAAATAGCCGGTCCTGTAGCTCATTTGGTAGAGCATTGGACTCCGCGTGGCGAGAGCACTCAGCACACGTTTCCAGTTATAACAGTCCGAGTTCGAAGCGCGACAGGCGCTTGACATTTATGGGCCTCCTGACAGGTATGGTTGCAGTTGGTGGCAGGCCGTAGCCAGGAAAAGTCAGTGAGGGGACCGTCCGTGCTCGGCTATGTGCGCACGTTAAACTTTGGACTCTAAATTCTGCCATAGAACTGGAATTGCGCCATCGGAGGGTAGAGGGCAGGGTCACCGTAACAAGCTTCGCTTAGCGCTGGCTCTATCCTTTTAAATCCTTCCTTTCAAAAGGTTCGGTCTATATCTATAAAAAAATAGTAATAGATAGATATGAAACAGTTTTTGGTGCCTTCGTATCATATTACGAAGCTGTCAGTGGTCGTTTACACCTACTTTTGATAGCCGGCAGGATGCCTGCTGGTGTCGACCTGACCTAACTTGACCCGACCTGGCCTAAATGTATGAAGGCATGATATGTGATAAGAAATGATGCGACATTCTTGATCAGCATCTTAACCCGCGCGGGGCTGGGGGGGTAAATTTTACCCCCCCTCGCGAATTTTTGCGATATCTCAAAAACGGCGGCGCGCAGCGCCGCCAAACTTTCAGTACTTTTTCTTACATCAATTTGACACATTCCCTGAAAATTTGAGCGAAATCCGTCGGAAAATTTTTGAGAAATTGACGTTTTAGTGACGTCATGTTCGCCATTTTCGCATCAAAAACGGCAAAAGTTCAAACGCCGCTAACATCTTCATTTTTAAAGGAATCAAGACGTAACAAAAAAGGTTATACGTAATTTTACTTTGTCTATCAAATGGCTATCTCGGTTTTTTGAAAATTTTGGATTTTGGCCTACATTTTTTCAAAAAACTGACTTTTTTGGGAAAATCATTATAAAATCCAAAATTTTGAGTCTATCGAAAAAACCGGAATATATGTCAGAGAAGTGGTCTAGGTGCACCTACATACCAAATTTTAGAAGAATCGGTTCAAAAATGTGGGAGTTATTCAAAATTTTATGACGTCACGACACACAAATTTTTTGAAAAATGACTTTTTTGGAAGTTCTAGACCTCGTACGGAAACAAAAATAGCACCATTCGATTCGCCGTGAAAAACTGCATCAGATAGACACCTTTTTAGGCCTTAACAACCAACTTCAAAATTTGACCTCACTTGACCTGACCTTGACCTGACCTCGACCTGAAATTCATCCAGAGGTGGTCCATATCACTTATTGAGTGTGCCTATTGAATTCTATGAGTAAAATGACCCATAAAACATGTGTTGCACATGCCCTTTTCTATATTTTGTTTTTTGGTGACCTGACCTGACCTGACCTTGACCTTGACCCCTGAATGATATTGTATGCAACGAATATTGTCTTGGTAGCCTAAGAACACGTTTTGGGCGATCAGTCTCAGTCCATGACTCCATTCTTCGGCAACTACGGTGCAAGGCCGATACTGTAGAAACTTGCAGTTTGTACCCTTGACCTGACCTTGACTTTGACCTCAAACTTGAAATTAAGTACATGTTTTTAGTAGTTCGTGATGAGAGCTTTCGATTGGCGTTTGAATTTTCCAAATCGGACCATTAGTTCGGGAGATAACAGGGGGGGGGGGGGTAAAATTTACCCCCCCCCCCCAGCCCCGCGCGTTCGGCTGGAGACCCCAGCCCCGCGCGGGTTAACCCGCGCCCTACTGGGGGGGGGCTATTTATAGCCCCCCTCCCGTTTTTCTGCAATAACTTCCAAACCGCTTGACGGATCGACGCCAAACTTTCAGTACCTTCGGCTGCATCAATTTGACACCTTGTGTCAAAATTTGAACTTCGTACCTACCATAGGTCGGCCGGAAATGACGTCAGAGTGACGTCATGTTCGTCCGATTTCGACGCAAAACATTGAACCACGGCAATCGCTCCCAAGAGCTCAGTTTTTAAGCTGGATCCAATTTCTTTGCATGAAAGAACTCAGAATTGACCGCGCTATCAAACTGCTATCTCGGATTTTCAAAATTTTGAAAATTTCGAAAATTGTATATAATAATATTCAAAATTTATATTTTTATATTTTTTTCAAAATTTTTTTGACTTTTCGAAAAAACCGGAATATATGTGACAGAACTCATGATTATGACTAACTCTAGCAAGTTTTAGCTAAATATCTTCAAAAATGGCCAAGTTATACGCATTATTGCAAAAAATTCACAAGTATTAATTTTTCAAATCAATTTTTCAGTACGTATTTGGCATCGTACACCAATATAAATGGCACCATCGTGTTCCTAAGCTCAAACTGCATCCAATAGACACCTTTTTTGTTGAAAAATTTCAACTTCAAAATTTGACCTTTTTTGACCTGAAAGTGACCTGACCTAAGCTAATTTCGACTCAAAATGACCTCGAATGACATAGACGACATCAAATTCGAAATCTATGGCCTAAATGGACCATAAAACATGTGTCACGTGACCGACGCATGATATAATATTTTCGTGACCTGTGATGACCTGACCCTGACCTGAAAATCAGAGTACAAGTTTGGTACCCGCAAGGTATCTAGAGCATCTGTTCACGAGTGTGGAAACCAAAAATGAGCCTGATCTGACTTGTAAGACGGCGGCCAGAGCCCAAAATGTGAACAAGCCAAAGTGCTAATAATTTTTACTTTGACCTGACCTGTGACGTCATCGGTGACCTCGAGGTCAATGAAATTAGGTTTCGCTCGACAGTTTTTCCGGGGCTATCAGACGCCGTTTGAATTTTGACGATCGGCCCAGTAGTTTCGGAGTTAGGAGGGGGGGGGGGCTATGAATAGCCCCCCCCCCCCAGTAGGGCGTGTTATACACAGACCCCAGTGGGGCGCGGGTTAAGAAACGTAACAGCCTCGCTTTACGAAGCTCTAGGTGGTCCCAATTTTTAGTACCTAAAATTAGGATTTCATCACTTCCTCTTGTCACGCTCGTTTTTTTTTTCCCGCAAAGCTCTACATAGCTCGGATCAGGGGCCAAAGAGCACGGGGTCCAACGGACCTTCCCCCATACGTTAGACGCTGGCAAACCACCAATGCGGGCGATGGTTAGGTATATGCTCACTTTTTTACTGTATGTAGGTTGGTATGGGTTTGGGATTATAGGTTTTACTTGCTTACCTTTTCACAGTGCTTATGCGTTTCCTGACTGGTTTGCGAGAGATTGTTCACCGAGGTTTCCTGAACACCCGTGTGACAGCTAAGATGAGTGCTGCCGCTGCCACGAACGGTGCCAAGCGCGCTGCCGCCGAAACAGACGAGGCGTTGGCGAAGAAGTCGCGTGTCGATGGCGGCGGCGGTGCCGACGTGGCGGCCCAACCGGCCGGGGCGGAGGTGCCGTCGGCCGAGCGCTGGAAGCTCAAAAAGGTCCTGCTGCTCATCTCCTACTCAGGGAAAGGCTACCTGGGAATGCAGAGGTATGGGCGCCGGTAGTCGACGGCGCCGGCTGGTGTCGGGGGCGCTGATGGTGAACAGTCGCTGTCACCTAACTCTTAACCCCATAACCATGGTGTAATAATCTAAATACACTGATAACCGAACGTGCCTGGAACCTTGACGCCGTGACTGTCTATCCAAAACACATGTTTTGGAATTGAATAGACTTTGTTTTAACTTTGTGCATTTTGTGTTTGTTTTGCTGTTTGCGTACCTGTCACTACTTTGGCTGTCGCGCTGCGGTCACTGTGACGCCGTAACACTAGCCCCGTGGCTGGCCAGGAACCCGGGCTGTCGGACCATCGAGGAGGACCTGTTGCAGGCTCTGTTCAAGGCGCGCGCCATTCCCGAGCACGGCCTGCGCGAGCAGCAGAGCGTCTGGTTCCAGCGCGCCGCGCGCACAGACAAGGGCGTCTCGGCTGTCAAACAGTGCGTCTCGCTTAAAATGGGTAGGTGCCGTTTGTATTGGAGCTTTAGTTATATGTGTCATGGCCACTAAAAGCCGAAACTGCTTGTATAGATTGCTGCGTCATGTGATCCAGTATGCGGCTTTGATTGGACCGCCGGGCTGACCGGGGCCCGTCCCGTCCTGCCGCTGACCTGAGGCCGTCTGCCCCGCCCCGCCCGCCGACAGCGGCCGACACGGAGGGCATCCTGGAGACCATCAACTCGCACCTGCCGGACCAGATCCGCGTGTTCGACATGCGCCGCGTCACCAAACGGTTCGACGCCAAGCAGCAGTGCTGCGCGCGCACCTACCAGTACATGAGCCCGACGTTCGCGTTCGCGCCGCTCGAGGCGGTTGTGTCCGAACAGTACCGGTGAGCGAGTGGTGATGTCAGATGGCTGCTACTGGGCACGCGCCGGCCCGCCGGGGAAGATTGAGCCCAGAGCCAACGGGCTGGATGTAGTGAAATTCTGGAGGACGCCTTTGGAATGTTTAGTCTGTCCCTGCTTCGGTATGTGATAAGCTGTTGGTGCTGTTCGGTATGTGCTGTTTTTGTGCATCTCTGTCTGATCAACACTGAATTCCAGGATGTCTGACGAAGTCCTGGAGAATGTGAACCGGTTGCTGAAGAAGTTTGAAGGGACGCATAACTACCATAATTTCACCTCCAGAAGGTATGTATCACACCAGTCACCTCATGCCAGTCATTTACCGAACAGTCCATACGTATTTATAAAGGCAACTGCATTGAATGATATCTTGCGAAATGTAATCAATTAGATATCAATGCGAAAAGTCTGCATTTTTACCTGTTCTATAAAGACACGGTTGCTACTGATGGTGCTGTACGATTGCCGTGCACAGGGACGAGTCACCTGTCTCTCCGTAACGCACTGCGTCGTCTGCAGGCAGCCCACGGACCCGAGCAGTAAGCGCTTCATCATGTCGATGACCTGCGGCAAACCGTTTGTGCGGGAGGGCATCGAGTTTGTCGTCATCAAAGTGAAAGGTGAGCGCTCTGGTTTGTCTCCGATATGCCGAGCTTTACATTCCTCTTTTTAATTCCTTTATATAATCAGTACTCGCGAATTCACGATTCATTTACCATTTACCAGCTTTCTGTGTACCTTGTTCTGGCGTTTGTTTTAAAAGTCATGATACGCCAAATGTCTATCTTCGTTTGTGTCATCTGCTGCCATCTCCGCCCTCTCCGACCATGTCTTCTCCCGTCCCCGGCTACGGCGGCCGTCAGTCGGGGCGGCACGCGCTAACTGCGCCCGGCCGGCCGCCAGGTCAGAGTTTCATGCTGCACCAGATCCGAAAGATGATCGGCACGGCGATGGCAGTGGCCCGCGGCCACGCCGCCGAGGGTGTGTTCGAGCGCGCCTGGAGCCTGGACAGAATCGACCTGCCGATGGCACCCGCCCTCGGCCTCATGCTGCACGAGGTCAGTCGGCGGCGCCTCACACCACCGTCCCATCACCAGGGCAGCTGACCCGCTGCTCAGCCTACATCCGATGTCATAACATGATAGTAGGTGTATTAATCGGGAGGGGGTGGGGGGGACACACTAGTATTCTGCTACATTTTGTAGTTTCTCTTTTTGTGTTGGATATATATTTAAAAGCGGCAGCCCCCCCCCCCCCCGCCCCCAGCGGCTTCTGTTAAAGCTGATAGATACATCTAGACGGCATTCTGCATGATCCACGATATGTACTGGGATACTTTGGTGTAGATTCCGGGGAACCCGGGGAGGCCGCAGCCGAAGCCCGTGGATGCGACGCCGATCACCTGCTGGCGCCCGTCGGCGCCGGGCGTGGTCAGCGGGCCGCCTGAGTCTCCCTCGCACGAGTCCTTCTCGTCGCCCGCGGCGCACAGCTTGGTGCCGCCGAACCCGCCCGGGTACCTCCTCGTGAAGAAGTCCAGCTGCGTCCGGTAGGACTGTTCGCACTCGTTGACGTCAGACACGGTGAGCGCAGCCTCCTGCAGCACGGCGGCCGACTGGCCGTTAAACTCTGTCAGTCCCCAGCCGGCCACGCGCGCCGTCCGTCCCGTGTGGTTGGCGCCGGCCGGCGGCAGGCAGGCCGGCTGGACGCGGGCGCCGAGCGCCACTGGCCGGCTGAGCCGCAGCAGCGCGATGTCGTCGTGCCGCGCCGCGCCGCCGTATCCCGGGTGCACGGTGATGGTGGCCACGGCGGCGTCCACGTGCGGCCCGTCGTCGCCGCGGGAGGTGTCAAACTCGCCGAGTCGCGCTGTGAGCGCCGCCGGCTGCCGGCCGGACACGCAGTGCGCCGCCGTCAGCACGGTGCGCGCCGACAGCAGCGTGCCGCCGCAGGTCCAGACGCGCCGGCCGCCCTGCCGCTCCCCCAGCAGCACCATCCACGGCCAGTCGCCGTCGCGCACCGGCTGGCCGCCCACCACGAACGCCTCGTTCCGCGGCCTGTCTGTGGTAGACGGACCTCCGAATCTGAAGGCGGGGGGCGACTGCACTCTGCCGCAGCTCGGGCTCAGCTGCCGGCCTCTGCCGCCGCCGCCCTGGCCCGGGAACGGGAACGGTCGGAACGGCTGCACTGCGGGAAAGGTGAACGGTGGAAACGCGCCGGGGAACTGGGCGGCGACGGCGGCCACCAGGGCGGTGCCCACAGCGAGGTATAGAGAGGCCATGGCAGTGTCCGGTCCGTCACAGACGCCCTCGAGCGGCGCTGGGCAACTGAGGTGCTCCTGCCTCATGTCTTCGGTCTAGTTATATACCACAGGCGGGAACCGGTTGCCGGCTACCTGCAACTGTCGGCAGGGGGCCCCAGGGCGCCTAACGTCACCGGGTACCCAGGAACGGGGTAACCCCGCCGTGTTTCTCGTCTCTAAATCTCGGAAAGTATCACGATGCAATAATATGGGAGTAGCTCACGGAACAAGGGGCTACCGTCAGCCTCGCAAGTCTGCGGTGGATGCCTGCTGTCACCATTTATCACGTTATCACGTTATTATCGCCTGTTATCACGTTCTTTCCGTGGGACTGGCTGCTATGGGAAGTCGGCTGTGGAGAATGGCTTGACGAGCAACAGGTGTGACACGTTTGAACATGAATGCTACGCTAAAGGATGAATCACGTAATGTTAGGTCATTTACTTACCCTGCGTTCGGCATCCAGAAAATGAGGGATAACCAACTACCCGGGATCACCGGTAAAACATTTGTATTGCAGGGACCATCGATGCAATTAGTCACATTTTTAGATTGTTGGTGTTTCACTTATGGGTCTAATGGGCTGGCTCTCGTTGTCATGCCCGTTGTACACGGTGTCAGCTTAAAACACCGAATGATCCCGGTGATCCCGGAAAATTATCCCTGATTATCCAGATGCCGAATGCACGCCTATTTATGTCGACATTTATAGAGCAGATTATGCTTCGGCTTATTTAGATGGTTGCACTTCGTTATAAATCTCAATGCCGTTCTGTTCATTAATTTGGAATTTTTGGTCCCAATTTGAAATAATCATTTATAATTTTCCCGGTGTAATGTTTCCAAGGAACGTAGCTCCGATGTTCGTCATCAAGCTTAACCGCATTGCTATATCATGAACTTAGCCTTTTCTTTTTTATGTTGTCTTCTTTTTGTTGATTTAAAAAAAAAAAAATGAAATCCTTAAGATTCTTAATTTCCTTCCTGACAAGTGCGCAGCCGAATATTTTTGTTATCGTATCGTAAGAGGTTTTGATGCTACCAATGTTCTGGCTTTCCCAAGAGCTGGTCGTTTTCGACAGTTTGGTTCACTGTTGTAAGTGTACGCATTTTTATTGCACAACATTTGGGAATTAAAAGTAACATTTCGTTGAACTACAAAGATAATGTTTCAGGAAATCATTAGAGAATGGATAATTGCATTTTTATTTTTGTCTTTTTGTCGAAATGGTAACGGCTACTGCTTTTTTATTTTTGCCTTTTTGTCGAAATGGTGAGCGGCTTTTCGGGTACGGTTGCGGCGCGTTTTCACGCGGTGTGCGCCGTTCAGGTCCACTACGACCAGTACAACCAGCGGTTCGGCAGCGGCGGCCACAACACGCACGCCAACATCGAGTGGAGCGGCGTCGAGGAGCAGCTGGCCGCCTTCACGGAGCGCTTCGTCCACTCCGACATCGTGCAAACCGAGCTGCAGGACAAGTCGTATCCTTTCGGCAACGCGCCGCCGCTAAATGATGAATCATTGCCGGGTCGGAGTTTTCCATCACCATCACTTTTGTGTGTCATTTAGGTCAGGTACTCTGCAAAGTTGGCTACTGGTATGAGATATATTGTTTGTATTACGCGCTTTGCCTTATTTTCTTTCTTTTTTTTAAAGAACTTGTCCTTATTTTTTATTTTTGGTCTTACCAGAGGTCGTTTACCGAGCTACAGTGAATAGTGGATCAAGGTTGGCCTGTCTCGACTTAAATTTTCCTTTACCACTCCCTGAATTATTTTTCTTTTCGTGTTCCCTGGATGCATCATGGAACTGTGTCGTTTTGCACCTCACATAGTGGCAGTCTTGCGATGTTGCCATTCACTTATCATCGTGACCCGCAAAACATACCTTTCTGGCTTAGTGTTGTACGACACACATTTTTTTTTTTTTTAGTTTTCTCTGTTTGACCATAACATCGGACAGTGGTTATTCGCCTCGTGACTCAGAAGTGGCTGACATCTGGTGGCCGTTTCCTGAACTACTATAGGTAGGATCCGGCCAGGGTATATTGAGTGAAGGATCCGGCGGCCGCTCCGCAGGCAGACCGGCCGGTCTAATCTCACGAGACCTCGGATTTCGAATACTTTTTCTTTCAAAATTGGAATGCAATGCACATAATTCGACGACAAATTCCTCATAGATCACGAATAATGATTCTCATAGCCCATCATACATCCTTTCACAGTCAAAAGGGCCCTGAACAAAGCGTCCCGTGGCACTTCGTAAGCAGTATTGGTGATTACAACCAATGTTAGGGCGGTAAGGGCGGCCGATAAGGATATTGCAATCCGCCGAAAGAGCAAGGTTCCGGGCACATTGTCTGAACCCTCGCCGTAACGGTTTTCTACGTAGGTAGGTACCGCCCGGTGCTTTGGAACCGCCCTGAGATCTTAAGAGCATTCATATGCCGGCATAAGACATTCACCTTTTATAGCCCGTCACAGGCCGACGTGGGGCCCTCAGAAATAGGCATGGAGTTCTCGGAAACCTGCATAAGGTCCTCATTGACTACGGCCGGAACTTAAATCTGCGATGGGCCCCAAAACGCCACCGTGGAGCCCTCAAAGACCTGTAGATTGCAGCCTTCAGAAACCAGCGTGGACGCTCGGGTGCCGATGTAGAATGATCAGGGATTGGTGCGGGCCAACGGTGAGTTCAGTGCGGGTTCGCTCAACCTTTCAAATGACCTGTTGACCAGTGGGATGGAATGGAACAGACTTACAAAACCAGCTGCTCGAACGGCGCCCCGGAAGGCGAAGGGACATGTTCATTTCACATTGCTTTTTGCTAATGATATCTGCATGTCAGGGCCAAAAGGCAGTAGCTACTAGCCTGAGCACTGAGCAGGGAATGAGGGATGTATTCGGTTCAGAAGAGGCTGATTCTGCTCCCAATGATAGGGGGGGGGGGGTTGGATATGTTATCTGTGTAATTCAAACTCAGTTCTGAGTTATCACTTCAGATTCATAAGGCTTCAGAGGGTGGAGCCTTATGACCAGTGACACCAAAAATTTGTGACTTTTACATTCTTCCATTCAGTTATCAGTTACATATGTGAAAGATAAATGGTCCTGGCAATGAAAATAACTTTAAGGGTACCCCAGGCTTGTTGAAGGGAAGGTATGAATGAACACCCGAGGACATCAGATTGCTTCCCTCTCCCAGGTAGTATTCTCACACCATTGATCATATGATGTTGATATAGTTCAGGAAACAAAGGAGATATATGTGCAAATTCAGGCCAGCTGTGAACTTATATCATTGATTACAATGCCTCTAATGCCACCAATACTGCACCAACTTCTAAAGCACTGAGCAGAGGTTGTAACTAATAAAGCAGACCATTTGTCGATTCAATGCCAATGCTGAGTAAGGGGGTGACTGAGGTGAGGTGCAATGAGCTAAATATGTTCTGTGGCCTGTGCTCTGCTGGACACATGTGCAGAACACATGTAGCATATTGTGCTGCACCACACATGCCAGCACAGTCGGGCACACTGTGGTATTTCCGATCCATTTATGGAAACGTTTCCATTTTTGGAACAATGTTCCAAAAATGGATACGCCGTTTCCAAAAATAGAAACTGTCTGTTCCATAAATGGAGACGCTGTGTGCATCGCTACCTTTAAAGCAAACTGGGCATTGATTGGTGCAATTTGGCATGCACAGGATGCCACCAATCGACAGCCAGCATTCTAGTTTATGTTCCTGTTCTCCGACTTTCCGATCAGAAAACCGAAAGTTGACGAACGAGGCGATGCTTATAACATGTTGACGTGATAAAAAAATTCACACGTTTTTCTAATCGAAATTAATAACATTGATGAATGTTTTGAACAAAAAATAACGTTTTTAACAGACTACTGAAAGACTGGTCCATTGATTGGAACAACCACATTACCGGGAACTTCAGTTTTTCATTCGTTTTCACGCTGCATTTTCCGGTGTACCAGCGGCCTGGTGGTCGTCAATCTTTGATTAAATCGCATGAAAGTTGTTGCAAAGCCCTATTTGGAGACTTAAGTGGGCATTTTATGATATTTCAAATGTGCTGAATATGATCGTAGGCTCGGATCAACGTAAATCTCCGTGCAAATACGTAAAAAGCAGGATGGAAATAAGGTCTGCACCGTCGTCACACCAAATATCGTTGTATTCTGACGATGAATTTATTCATTCTAGCTCATGTGTAACATTGATATCAATTTTATATATTGAAATGATATCTACGCTTTATGTATTGCCCACTTTGGACCACATCTGTCCAGTAGTTTCTGGGAAATCTTAGTTTTAGTTGACTTTTGAATGTGCTTAAGTTGTGGCGCATAATGTATTATTATCGAACCCGACGTCCAAGGTAACTGCCGAGAGCCGAGATGCTAAACCAGTCCCAAAACATCAAATTTTTAGTTGCATGTGAATTTTAAAAACACATTTAAGCAAAGTTTGCACACATTTGAACTTCAGCGTTTCTATTTTTGGAACATCGGCGTTTCCATTTTTGGAAACTACGTCTCCATAAATGGATACGATTCAGGAGCATTTTAAAGGCGTGAATTTGAATGCATACGACAGCTTTCCATGCAAGAAGACAAGTGCTTTTGGTGTATCTGAGCTTGTTTTACGCGAAACAGTCGTTATACATCAAATCCAGCCACCCTCGGCAAGAAAATATGTGCGGAGATGTTAGCGTTTCTATTTATGGAACGAGCGTTTCCATTTTTGGAACAGAAGAGTAGTCAAAATTGGAAACGTTTCCAATAATAGAAACGTCTCCATAAATGAATCGGAGATACCACAGTGCGCCCGACTGAGCAACAGACTTAATTGTAGGTTTAATCTCTTCAGCTACCTCCTTGAAACAAACAGCCATCTCAGCAGCAAGTGGGTTTTGAGGGTTGGCAGCAAGACTCCTCAGTTCCTTCCTTCCAGGGCTGCAGCCTGCTGCTGGAAGCTGCCTCAGAAACCCTAGCATAGTGGAACAGCTGCTGTTAGCAGTGGAATGAATCAGGTTGGCAGCCATCACTTCTGACTTCCGATTTCGGTCAAATGCCACTAGTAGTTGTAGTCTGAGTCCTGTCTTTTGTACTTGTGTGGTCATGTCATTGTCATACCATGCTATTGCTACAACATGAAAAATTGCATATGCACCTTATTGCCTGAAATATATCCATTCTAATAATGGAAACAAGATCATTTAACGAATTGCCATGCGTCTTTGTAAGCTGCTTCAGACTGAGATTAAAAGTCAAAGGTCATAGCGATTTCTGCAGCCAAATGCTGTATGATATTCACTAGCGATAGCAGGGTAATTTACTCCAAAGGTCAAAAACCCAAAACGTTACATAAAAGGGATCAAAATCGATAATAATCAGCTTCCCCCAACCCCAATTTCCACTGAAGCTGATACAGAAATGCACGTTTACCGGTATTCGTAACTCGTGCGCCACATTCGCTATCCTATCTATACGGTTCTACGGTGCTGCCACCTAGCGAGGTGTCACGAGGCGAATAAGTCGGAACACAGCTTCTATCTGAGAACGACTTTTGCTCCGATATTTCGGTTTATGTTTCAGCTGCTGTTCGGCGCACAGTTATGTTATGTGTGTACTGACTGGGCGCTTTACATTACCATAATGTGTATAGTATGTTGTGTATTGCTACCTTCATTGTAAGTTATCTCTTGCTACCGTTTTTGTCCTTGACTTTTTGTGATGTGCAGTATGTTGTCGTGGCTGGAGACACTTCCCCTACATACATTCGACATCCGCGAAGGGGATAAGAGTCCTCTGCTGGCCGCCAAACGGCAGGTGGAGGCCGATACCGCAGCAAAGTCGGCAGAGGCGGCAGCGGACGGAGAGTCGGGGGAGGGGCAGCCGGCCAGCGCCGGCGAGGCTGAGGCTACTGCCGGGAAGTCGGCGGTAACAGAGGCCGAGGAGTCGGTGGCGGCGCGGGGAGAGTCGGTGGGCACCGACTCGCAGCTAGCCACACCGACAGAGGGAGAGGGCCGTGACCCGTCCTCTGCCGAGGCCCAGGCGAGCTGACCAAACGACTGGTGGTGTGGGACATTCCGGCTGTTGATCTGCCGCTGGGGTTTGAACGTGTCGGATACAACTTCATTTTTACATCAAGGGTTTTGTCTGTGATGTATTTAGATGTTTGTACCAACGACATGCAGTGTTTGCCATTGTTTTGTATGTATTGATGAACATGCAATGAGTGTTTGCTACGACTTATTGACAATACATTGGTGCACAGGATTTCACTCTTGGTGTTTCAGTCATTAGGACATGTAGTTACGAGCTATGGATAGAATTGCGGTGAGCCAGTTTCTGGGATGTGCAGATGTTTCCATCTGTGCAGACGTTTACGAGTTCTGCTCATGACGGGAGTGTTCGGGAAATCCCGACGGGTCCTATCCCCGTGTTCAGCAGCCAGCAAATGACATCTTTCGACCGCAGCCATGCGGGTCGCGCGACCCACAACAGGATGTGGATGCAGGGGCCCATCGGGTCATCAGGGGCCCCTCGGGTAACCAGGGGCACATAAATGAAACTTTGATATCATTTTTTCTTCCTAGTAAAAGACGTTTTATCCAGTGTTTGAAAAAATATACCGGGCCCTGAGGGGCACCCTGAGCGCGCCTTCGGCGCTCAGGAGGGGGCCATGGCCCCCGTGGCCCCCCCCTTAGGTACGTCACTTCCAGTTTGTATGGTTATATTTCTCATCGATGCTTATTGGCACGCACGTCAAAGCAAAGCTCGATTTATTCAAGGACGGCCACTGGTGAAGTTGATACAGTTGTCCAAATGCAACTGCGAGGCACACCTACGACCTACGTGAATCATAAAACATTTCAATTTGTCTCAGTACTCGCCGTCCGCTGTATGCTTTTATGTTCACTGCATGACACTGAAGCAACTCTTGCTTCCGTTGGACATTCGTCACAGCAGAAGTCGCTGCTTCTAACATTTAGGCACAATAAATCACATCACAACCGCCCCTGGTTACCGGTGACGGCACCACACACCCAGACACCCACCCACCCCGCTCCGCTCCTCCGTCGGTCCGTCGGTCCTCTAGCAGCGGGGGTTGCTCGAGTCGGAGGTCTCCGTGCCGCAGATCTTCTGGTCGCGGCAGGCGCCCTCGCACGGCCCGTAGTGCACCTGCGCCGCGTCGCTGTGGTAGTAGTAGCTCATGTACTGCTGGAACTTGTCCGAGTCCGTCTTCATGCGCTGCACGAGCCGGTCAAAGTTTTGCGGCGTGGGCGGCGCCTCGAGCAGGTCGGCGCGCGCCGAGTACAGCTTACTGTAGCTGGTGTCGCCGACGGCGTTGGCGCGCTCCAGGTCCATCCAGTAGGTGTCGTAATCCACGGCCATCTGAGGGGCAGCGGAACGCCGTGAGGTGGGGGTGGGCGGTTCACACAGGGAGCGCGGCTTCTATAATCTGCTGAAACTTATATGGGTATAGTGACTATGGCCAGGGTGTTGACTGCTGCAATGCAAGAGCATCTATATATTGATCCACGACATTATATTGCCGCTTAGGCGGGATACGTTTAGGCGTCCCAGACTAGCCGAGGTCGATGTCGAACCCTACTGGTACTTTATCGCCCTGGTGCGGGGTATCCTATCGGCCGCTGTCCTACCCAGGTGCTGTTGGTGTCCACGTGGAAGATGCGGTAGGTAGGGTTCTTGTAGCTGTACGTGGTCACGGCCGGCGTGATGTAGGCCACGCTGACGGCGCGGCCGGGGTCCTCCAGGTCGTAAAACACCTCGAACTCGTCCTTGTGCGTGTGGCCGTAGAACTGGCCGGATATGGTGTCCTCGTACCTGGGAGCTCGGAGAGGTCAGCAGGACATCCCGTCCACGAACTAAGCGAGCGTCCAGCTGCATTCACTATTTAGTTTAACCAAAGTGCGCTGTGGTAGTTTTGTGGCAGCGTTCTTTAACGCTTTCCTCATCGACTTAAGTAGGTAGCTCGTAATGAATACATAAAACCTTATAAGCTCCCACATTTGCTGTTGAACCTGAGATCGGCAGTATACATATAACCCCAGCGGTACCGCTCCATCCCCGGGTGTTGTCCCGATGGCGCACCGGTTGACGATGCGGTTGAACTGGTGGCTCCAGGTGGGCAGGCAGTCAGTGATGCCGGGCGGGATGTGGCTCAGCAGGTGCACCTTCTCGCCCAGGTCCTCCGCCTCCTGCAGCTGCTCCACCAGCCACTGCAGCTCACCGTTCGGGTCCACAGAGTCCAGCAGCAGCAGCCTGGGCGCAGAGAGCAGTCGTGGTCACTCTCAGAGCGTCCCGGGACACCCGGGCAGCTGTCGGCGTCCCTCTCTGCGCGCGGCGTGCACTCACCAGTTGAGGTTGTTGCAGAAGTTGGAGTTGATGCTGATGACGCGCAGTTTGCCGGGGATGGCGCGGCTGGCGTAGAACGAGCCCCGGTCGATGGTGCCCTCAGTGATCTCTGTGGGGAACAGCGCCGGCCACAGCTCGCCGAACGTCGCCTCCAGCCACTCGACACTGTTGGTCTCCGACTCGACAGTGGCCGGCGGGTAGCTGCAGCAGACAACAGTGGTCAGTTGTCAAGGATTTGTAGCACTAGTCAGTGGTCCTTTTCGTGCACACTGGGGCGAGAGAGACGAGACAAGTGGCTTGTTTCTGGGCCCGAATTAAAGTTCACTTGGCAAACAGTTTGACTGGCCCTAAATAAAATATCTTACGGCTCGATGGCTCGTTGTGCTACTGACATGTTGCTGAAGCAGGGCGCGCTACTGACATGTTGATGAAGGGCATGACCTGCTACTGCCATGTTGCTGAAGGACATGACTGGTGCACTGCTGACATGTTGTTGAAGGACATGACTCGCTACCGACATGTTGCTGAAGGGCATGACTCGCTACCGACATGTTGCTGAAGGGCATGACTCGCTACCGACATATTGCTAAAAGGCATGACTCGCTACCGACATGTTGCTGAAGGACATGACTGTTGACTGACATGTTGATGAAGCAGGGCGCGTGGTTGCCGATGGATGAGTACACGGGCGTGTTGGGGAAGCGCGCCTGCAGCTTGGTCAGCGATGCGCGGATAGCCGCCTCGTTGCCTTCCCTGGTCTGGTTCCAGATGTCGTGCGCCGGCAGGTCCCCCGTCAGGTAGATGATGTCCACGTCCTGCCGGCAGCGGCACGCGTCAGATCACGTCTAGCGCTGCTCATGCGGGGATGTGTGCTATTGAACTATGATGCCATCCTCTTCGCCAGAGCTCTTATTGCGTGCGTTCTTGTTTTCTGTTTTAATAGAATTCTAGCCTAGCATCATCTACAAACGTGCGTATTTACACAGTCATGCAGTTAACAATGTTAACATTTCGACCTACATCAATCTAACAAGGAACAAACGTCAGACTGTTTTGACGATACTGCATGTTCTGCAACCCCACATCCCGATGGGTCCTCTGAAATTACGCGTCAAACCTTCACAAAATCTCCGGTCCCCCGCTTACGGCGTGGTTCTCGGTGATCCAGTCGAGTGTGGCGTCCAGCGTTGCCATGGGGATGTCGCAGTCGGCCAGCGCGCCGTACGGGCCCGTGGTCGCGTTACCCTGACCCTGTGAGGCGTGGCAGCACATGGGCATGCTGCAGAACGCCTCGCTGCCCTCGGCGTAGTCGAGGTCCACGTGCAGGTCGCTCAGCTGCAGCACCTTGATGGTGGTCGTCTCCGACACCTGCCGTAGCGCCGAACGGCACCGGGTCAGGATCGCATCAGCATGAGATCTGCACCGAGAAATAATCTTTAGTAGTCAGAGCGGTGCCTATGGTCCAGCTGAAGCTGTCAGTGGCACAATGTCCCATTTCCCCTCTCCCTCCACCCCTCGCTCCGCCGCGGACTCACGTCGGGCAGGACGGGCTCGATGTGCGGCGGTTTGGGCGTGTCGGGCAGCTGTACCTCCCACTGGGGCCAGATGACGGAGCCGCACTGGGCGCCGATGATGTACGTGCACACCTCAGCGGCCGTGGTGCGCCGCGCGCTGAGCACCTCGGCGATCGTCGGCTGCCGGTCAGACGCGAGCGGAACGGGTCTGTGAGACACTGGCGACTACGAGGGACTCGGGACTCGTGGACTTTAGGACGCAGAGGCTGGCGCAAAAGTGGCCTAAGGAGAAGGCTGGATCAAAAGGAATTGAAGGTACTGTGGTGAGGATAATCATTGGATGCTCGCGGAGTAGTGTAGGTATGGTTGAAAATAAACGATTTTCCTGCGGCTTACGGTATGGAGTTATCATGACAGGAATGTTGTGCTATGCTAATTTCAATCCCGATTCGGTAGAAACTCAAGAGGCATTACACCACCAGCGTGAAGTACCTAGTTGCAATGCTGGCTCAGCGTAAACCTTATTCACCTCTGATGATCCTGCCTGCTCATTCCAATGAAAGAACGCTGTCGATTTCCTGAATGGAGCTTCGCGGCACTTGCGATGGCCAGTGTGACTGATCCGCTCTTAACTTAAGATCATTGGCCAAGTTGACCTTCCCCCACTTCACTTACAATGGCCAGTGTGACCGACCCTTACAATGGCCAGTGTGACCGACCCTTACGATGGCCAGTGTGATCGACACTTACGATGGCCAGTGTGATCGACACTTACGATGGCCAGTTCGACGGATCCGCGGCACACCTCCTCGTCGTACAGGTCGAGCACCACACACGCCTCGATGGCCTGCTCGGCGATCTGGTCGATCGGTGTGCCGCTGTAGAACTCGAGCAGCACGGGAGCGATGGCGAACTCGCACTCGGTGCAGAGGAGGTCCTGGACGGGCGCCGACCAACGCGGGATGCCGCCAGGGCGGTTCCTAAGGCACACAAGAGGGGGAGTGTGTTGACGGTGGAGAGGAACGGGAGGATTGCCATTTTCAGTATGTTCACCGACTCAACCTCATTTGATATTGAATAACACTCCATCTTTTAGTGATTTTACTCTGAGGATTTGGTGGAAGATGGGGTTTGACCGACCATGAAATATGATTGGTTTCGTTTAAAAAGCCCTTGGCTGGCGGGCTGACTGAGCCTGCATGATTGGATACAGCTGTTCACCTAAGGAGGCGCACCTTGGAGTGGTAACCAGCTGAGAATGTCGCGCACCCCAGAGCTACTACTGAGAATGTTGTGCACATTAGAGTGCTGACCAGTTACCTGAGAATGTTGTGCACCTCAGGGTTGTAACTACCTGAGAACGTTGTGCACCTCAGGGTTGTAACTACCTGAGAATGTTGTGCACCTCAGGGTTATAAATACCTGAGAATGTTGTGCACCTCAGGGTTGTAACTACCTGAGAATGTTGTGCACCTCAGGGTTGTAACTAGTTAACTACCTGAGAATGTTGTGCACCTCAGGGTTGTAACTACCTAAGATTGTTGTGCACCTCAGGGTCGTAACTACCTGAGAACATTGTGCACCTCAGGGTTATAAATACCTAAGATTGTTGTGCACCTCAGGGTCGTAACTACCTGAGAACATTGTGCACCTCAGGGTTATAAATACCTGAGAATGTTGCGCACCTCAGGGTCGTAACTACCTGAGAACGTTGTGCACCTCAGGGTTATAAATACCTGAGAATGTTGTGCACCGCAGGGTTGTAACTACCTGAGAATGTTGTGCACCTCAGGGTTATAAATACCTGAGAATGTTGTGCACCTCAGGGTCGTAACTACCTGATAACGTTGTGTTCCTCAGGGTTATAAATACCTAAGATTGTTGTGCACCTCAGGGTCGTAACTACCTGAGAACATTGTGCACCTCAGGGTTATAAATACCTGAGAATGTTGTGCACCGCAGGGTTGTAACTACCTGAGAACGTTGTGCACCTCAGGGTTGTAACTACCTGAGAATGTTGTGCACCTCGGTGACGCGCATCTCCTTCTTGGCGTACTGCACGTAGGGCCGCACCTGGCCGGTGACGTAGGAGCGGTGCGCCTCCAGCAGGAAACGCATAAAGTCCACATTGGGAGGCTCCACCGCCGCTGAAAGACGGCCGCAACATGGTCACGCTTGTCAATGGGTGCGAAATCAACCTGGGATTTCGCAGACAAACGATGTAATATCTAGGCTATAATCTATTCGAGAATGTAGACTTATGAATTCCACCTTGCTCTTCCTGAAGGGGTACGAATGAATGAGAGTGAGAGTGAGGCAGCTCCTATGGTCGCCTTCTGACCAGGGCTGTAGTGAGGGTAGCAGAGGGTGACCGACGCTCGCAGTCCTGGGCTTACCGACGGCGGCGGCCGCTGTCAGCAGCAGTGCCATACACCGAACTCCCCGCATTGCGCCGGTGCCTGCTGCGTCTGGGCCGCTCCGGACCGGAATGAGCAGGGTCTCGGTCAGCGGGGTGCGGCCGGCGGCGGCCCGACCTGACCTCGGAGGCCGCCGGCAGCTGGTCGCTCCCAGCTCCGGAGCGCCCACCCTCCCTGGGAGCGGCCATCTGTCGGCCTCGGTACGGCGTGCGCCGCAAACGCCGCCGGCGCCGCGGGGCGAACTGGGACATCTGCCGCGGCCGGCGGCGGCGATAGCACACGGCCGAGGTCAGTGCCGAGCCGATCCTCTGTCTCTGATTTTACCTCTCCGCGCCGCTGTTTTTTATCCACCGGAGTCCGTCGGCCAATGTTGGAGAGAGCTCAGGCACAAAGCCATAGGCGGCGGAACGGGGAGGGCACCGGGGCACCGTGCGACCCCTTTGATTTTGCCATTTTAATATTAGCCTATAGGCGTTCCATGGAAAGAATGGGACCAAAAGTCGGTAATGCCCCCCCCCCCCCCCTTAGTCGATGGTGTTCTGCCGCTACTGCACAAAGATGTGCCGTGCGTGCAACACCACGCATGGCTACTTTTTACAGTTTTCTATTGGTTCGGTCATATGCTATAGAACTCTGCATTGACCTGACTTTAGGATTGAGACTAATTCATATAGTCCAGCAACACTGGTATACCCACTGAGGCATCGTGATTAGGGATGAAGTCCTGTCGAGTGTCGATTGTTCCGTGAGCTTCGGATACTGTTCCGATAGATATTGTGAGATATTGTTTTATGGCTAAGTCCAGCCGTTGCTATTCATTCCTTTACTCACGGCTGGTGGCCGGGTTCCTGACAGATGATGAGGCGCTCGTGTCTCTAGTGTCATCCACAGTTCAGAAGCCGTTTCTTGTTTGAGTGAATTTTATTGGAAATTTATAGAGCTAAATATTATTTTGAAGCCATGATGGTGTAGACAATGATTCGGCGATAAGCCTTTCCTGCTAACACGTCCCTACACAAACACGTCGAAAGATCTCTTGTGTGGGAGCGTCGCAACTCGCACCTCAGCCGACGGAGGGGGCCGCCGGTCGGGTCTGATTATATCGCCGCACACGTTGTTGGATGCCGACTGCTCAGTGCTCACGCCATGCGGCTCGATAAGGATAATGTGTCCGTCAAGACAACCCATAATCAGCCCGAATTCAGCCCGGGCCCGGGTTTATATAGCCTTGGCCCGGGCTCAGGACGCCTCGGATCGACGCGGATGACTTGAAAGTCGCACACACATAACATTTGGGATTTAGAATACGCGGCCCAAACCATTTGGCTGCTCTCCTAGCCGGGTGGCCTGCAGAGGTCAGCAAAGGTCACGGCCCCCAGATTCACTCAGCCTATCGAATCGCGGCCCACCCATTAGAGCCAGATACCTCAAACAGCACCAAACGACTTACCATGACCTAAAACTGCTTTTCCATTATCAGTTTTACCTGTAAATGTCACGCTATGACCTTAGGTCATAATAATCATATACGGGTCAGGTCGATAAGCTATTGGATAGCAGCTCTTGAATATACGAAAAGGTGTAAATGTCATTCAAAGCAAGTCATGCGATAGCCCATAGAACGCAGAACTTAATCTGCAAAGCACAATTTAATATGTAACCTCGTTTGACTTGGGCTGCGTGAAATGTTGATGATGAAAAATGAAAAAAAATGTTGACGCTTATAAGCCGCAGTTCGGATTCATCCCGGATGTGGTACGCTACCAATCCACTTGAACCTTGCACAGAACAGAGCCCTACAGTCGCAGGGAATGCGTGGTCAAAGTCGTTAAGCGGCTTTCTCAGCCGTTTGGGCTACAAAGGTCGACAAAGGTCAACCGAGGTTATAAAAATGTATTTGCTATGGGTTTGCACTTTGCAGCTCAAGTTATCACGGTTTATGGACTATCTAATGACGTCTTTGTCACAGGAATCCACCTAAATTGCAAGCATTGCAAGGATTATAGCAATCGCGAGCCATAAGTAAAAATAATCGCAGCCTATCAACAACGTAATTTCAATCAACACCTTATTACTGGTACTTACGTAGGCAAGTGGGTCCTAGGCTGCTCAGTTGAAGCATTTTTCGACCTCACCTGTATATGACCTGAGGTCATGATAACGTTACCTTTAGAGGTACCTATACCTAACTGACAGTCGGGAAAGTAGCTTCAGTTCATGGTGGGTCGTTTGGGCAGTTTTTAGTGCCATTGCATGCCTGATAAAATTGTTTGGTAGCATGTTTTGATTCCAGTAAACGTCCGGTAATTTTTTACCATATTTTCTGGGAATGAGTTCGATGAATGCTACGTTTACGAATTTTTTATTGACAAATCAACAGACAGTTGCCTTTTCTAGAAACTAGAAACATGGCATAGAACCTAGGCATGCGGCAGCTCAGTTTGACAGTTCCGAAAATTATCATTGAAATGAGCAACAGCGCCTTGAGCACAGTGAAGTCTGAAGACAGAGTGAGCGGCAATCGGCGTGGGTGCGTCTCCGACTCCGTGTCGCAGGATAGCAGTGTCCGCTCTGTTAGACACCTGCTGATACCCACAGCCTGGTGTGCTCCCATGATGGCGCGTCTCTCGGCCGCCTTTCGCGCTTCGATAGCCTTGATAATGGCTGGTATCACCTCACAGAAAGTAGCACATTGTAAAGTTACATTAAATATGAGCCAGCTCCTCTCGCACCTGCTCACAGTCCATGTATTAAGCAACGCATAAAAAATGAGGGCAGATGCCTTATGTCACTATTTGAGCATGCATATTAAACACCAAAGCTACATTAAGCATGTTCACCACCTTCTGGAACGTAAAGCACTCACATTTCTCACATTCAAGAGCATTTCATGTAATGTTATGACACAAAGTAGGTATGAAAGCGAGCATGGAGAACCGAGAATGGCGATACCATCGCCCCTTACAACTGCTAACTGACTAACATGTCATCCAATCAACATTGTGGATGTGAGTGATATCCCATCACTTATCAAATCTTTTAGGTACTGTTCCCGCCCCAGCGGCTAACTGCATCAAGATATACGGATTTGTTTTTGACTGGCATTTGTCTTTCAGGTGTCGCATATGTGTGCCTTGCCTCTGATAGCTGACTACTGTGCTTGGTAGCCACATTGACTGCACGCACGACCACTCACAATCCCGGACGAAGTGAGTCTCACTTATATCTCTTCGATAGGCACTACTGGCACTGGTTAGACAGCGCGATACTGTGTGATTGAATTATTTAATCAGCCAGTGTGGTATATTTAAACGAGCGGTGCTTAGAGTTTGAGTTCAGTTTCTTAGTAACCAACATGATCTGTTCGCTCGTTCATGTGCTACCCCCTACTGCGGCGATTGGTTATGTGCCGGATGTATTACACCTTTCGTCCGTTGTCCCCACAGTTATAACGGTCATCACGGTCTGCGACTACTGTGGGCCCACCGACTACAAGCCCTGATCACAATAAATCTTGTAGAACTCTGCCCTGGTAGTTTTTTCCTGTTGGCCGGATCAGTTATAATTCTTCCACCTGTTGTGAGGTGGTGGTGTTGCCCATCAGTAGAGTGGTGACACAGTAGATTGATGTTCACGGCCAGTAGAGATGATCCTCACATTTGATCCTAACCTGAGGGCTGTCTAGCCTGACATCGTGTCACTCATTCTTCATTATCTGGAGACCTATTTGTAGTTGGAAAGGCAGTTGTCTACTAACGATTCAGGTGCAGTGGAGTGTAGACCTCAGCTAACTCCCAGTCCCCCTGAACTATACGATTATGGACGGGGAAGAGAACCAGGAACAGACATCTGCAAGTAGACGACAGGTGCGCCTGACTGAAGCAGGAAGAGAACACCAGAAGGAGATGAAGACGAAGGTGTTCAAGAGGCAGCTCAAGGAGCTGAAAAGGCACACTGAGAAGATGGTGGAGGACGATGGCACTATCGTCCCAGACTTGGGAAAACCAGAACTGAAGGAGTGGACCCATTGCTATGTGAATCTTCTTCAGACTCTGTCAGACCTGAGAATCCTGCTGCCATCAGACGAGGTCGCCCTCCTTCAGAGAGACATTGAACAGTTTCAAGCACTCAACTTGCAGATGCAAGAAGCCCTGGAGAAACTGAGGAGCACAGAAGCCCGAGCTCCGTCGGTGACCGGTCGCAGTGGGAACTCTCGGACATCGACATCGGTTGCTTCTGTTCGAGCCTCCTTGAAGATCCTGCAAATGCAAGACGAACATCAGAAAGCAGCCCTGCGAGCGAGACAAGCGGCTGTGCTGAGAAGACGAGAAATCGAACAAGAGAAACAGGCCATCAAGTGGAAAGAGGAGGATCTTGAACTGGAAGTGGAGCTCAGCACTGTGGAAGAGCAGAGTAAGGCACTGCACAAATTTGAGATGGAGTTGGAAGACGGAAAGACCTACAGACTACCTGCGGAGAATGACGTGACAGTTCCAGCGGAGTCAATCCAAGTAGGACCTGTTCGAAGTGCAGGTGCTCCCGTGACAACCAGCGAAGTTCGCGGCGATATATCTTCCTCTCAGCGCGCCAGCGTTTCGCTCAGCGTGGCAGATGCCGGAGCAGCGCCTCTGTCATCTGCGCAGGGCGGCAGCGCTCACATCAGCGTAGCTGACGGGCCTGAATCGACTACACTTCATCATGGGCTGAACCCTGGCGCACGTATCTTCAGGCCCAGCGCGATGATAGAGCCAGAGGAGCAGCTAAATGTAGAACGTAGCTCCGGGACGCTAGCTGCGGGACCCACTAACTTATCAGATCTGTTCGCAGAGCAGCGAAGAGGCCAGCTTCCAGCGCTGGAACCGGAGGTCTTCCAGGGAAGCGTCGAGAGGTTTCATCCCTGGGTGAAGGCCTTCGAGAGCTTCATCGAGAGCAGAACGTCATCGGCGACAGAACGACTGCACTACCTCTCCAGGTACACCGGAGGAGAAGCGAGAACAGTGATTGAAGGATTTCTTCTCCTTAGGTCAGCAGACGCGTACAATCAAGCGAAGAAGAAGCTGTACGACCGCTACGGAAATGACTTCATCGTCTCACGCACGTACCGCAAGAAGCTGAAGGAGTGGCCACCGGTGCGCGCTGGTGATGGGAGCGGTCTAAGACGATTGGCGGACTACCTGGATAGCTGCCTCGCGGTCTCACATCACGTATCGGGTCTCGAATCTCTTAACGACTGCAACCAGAACAACGAGATCCTGCGGAAACTGCCTAAACACATCGTGGACAAGTGGAGGCGTGTCGTCGACAAGAGACTGTTCGAGCCTGACGCGGGGACTCAACCGGGCTACCCGCCGTTCGAAGAGTTTGTGAGTTTCCTGAACAGGGAGGCTAGGATCGCCTGTGGACCGGTCGACGGCACACCAGATGTATTTTCGACTTCGGGTCGAGACACACCAGCCAGAGGTCGTGTCAGCCGCAAGGAAAGCGCTCACACCTTCATTTCTTTGGCAGCATCAGATGAACCTGCTGACGCCCCGAAGCACCGAACTCCACCGTCAGCGAAGCCACGGCCTCCTTGGCCATGCAAGATCTGTGGACAGCAGCACTCTATCGAGACATGCAAGGACTTCAAGGCCATGACATCAGAAGAGAGGCACGAGGCGGTCAAGCGACATGGACTCTGTAGAGGCTGTCTCCGCCACGGTCACATTTGGAAGGAATGCCGAAGCAGGAGAAGATGTGAGAAGTGTGGTTACTCTCACCCAACGCTGTTGCACAGCGACTCAAGAGAGAAGTACACGGCGTCGACTCCGGTGAAGAGGCCAGCAGGCTCAAGCGACGGCACTCCGGAAACTCGTGCAACCACATTCAAGGTGGCGGTTGAGGGCGATTGTCAGAAATCAGCCTGTCTTCACACCATGATTGTTCCCGTCATTCTTCGAAGCGAGGACGACCCTAATCGACAGGCAATCGTCTACGCAGTTCTTGACCCGCAGTCAGATGCGTGTTTCATGACCGAAACAACGCTGCAGAAAGTTGGAGGCAGAGGAGAGAAGATTGCGCTTCAACTCAGCACCATGGCTGGAAAGGCAACGGTGGACAGCCTCAGAGTGACGGGACTTTCGGTCCAAGGGCTCACGACCACCGACCGCATCAACCTTCCAGCCACCTACACACGGGTCGAGATACCAGCGGAGAGACACCTCATCCCTCGAACAACCACGCTGCAAAAGTGGAAGCATCTCGAGCATCTGATGGAAGATCTTCCTCCTCACCTACCGGACGCAGACATCGGACTACTTATCGGTATGAACTGCCCCCGCGCAGTGAAGCCGAGAGAGATTGTTCCAGGAAGCGGCGAAGACCCATGGGCAATCAGAACAGAACTGGGATGGAGCGTTGTGGGATTCGTTGAGGGATCCACATCTGCTCCAACATGCCACTGCGTACAGGCGGCAGAGTCGAAGACGTGTCACTTCGTACTCAAAACTCAGGCACGAGAAGTAAGTCCACTGGAAGTCGCACGCATGTTCGAGGCCGACTTTCGTGACGAACACACGGAGAAGAAGGTATCACAAGAAGACCGACGATTCTTGAGGATAATGGAGGAGAACTTCCATCAGAGAGCCGACAAACACTTCGAAGGACCACTTCCTCTGAAGGACCAGAATGTGAAGTTCCCAGACAACAAGAAGCTGGCATTGAAGCGGCTTTTCTGCCTGAAAAGAAGACTCGCTAACGACAAGAAGTTCAGCGATGACTACAACAAGTTCATGGCCGACTCGTTCAACAAGGGATATGCGGAGCGGGTGCCAGAAGACGAACTGGGAAACGACAATGGAAGGGTCTGGTTCGTCCCTCACCACGGTGTCTACCACGCAAAGAAAGGGAAAATCAGAGTCGTCTACGACTGCAGCGCTGAATACCAAGGATTCTCGCTGAATAACAGCCTTCTCCAAGGACCAGACTTCATCAACAATCTGCTGGGCGTAATCATCCGCTTCAGAAAATATGAAGTGGCGATCAGCTGCGACATCCAGGAGATGTTTAATCAGGTGCTCGTGACTGAGCAGCACAGGGATCTGCTCAGATTCCTGTGGTGGGAAAACGGCGACTTATCCGGAGAGCCCGTCCAGTATCGGATGAAGACTCATCTCTTCGGCGCGGTCTCCTCCCCCGCATGCGCGATGTACGCCCTGAACGCTACGGCAGACACGTACGAGCAGAAGTACGGGAAAGAAGCGGCAGATTTTGTCAGACACAACTTCTACGTGGACGATGGGCTCATCAGCGTTCCGGATGCCGACACTGCTGCGCGTCTAGCCATGGACACGATCCACCTGTGCGCAGATGGAGGATTCAAACTCAACAAGTTTGTTTCCAACGACCCCTCTGTCGTCGCTAGCCTTCCCCCTGACAGTGTCTCTAAGGGAATGACATCAGTAGACGTCAGTCTGCACCACCCTACTTACGAGCAAGCACTCGGACTGAAGTGGAACACCGAAACAGACACACTGCACATCAACGTGGACCTTGCAGACAAGCCCATTACAAGACGGGGCATTCTGTCGACGGTGAGTTCACTGTACGATCCAGTCGGTCTGATATCTCCGGTAATCCTGAAAGGCAAGCAGTTCGTGAAGCTCCTCTGCTGTGACGGCTATGACTGGGACGAACCTGTGGCAGAAGACGTCGCCGTGCGCTGGCTGCAGTGGAGGGAAAGTATATGCTTGCTTTCCGACATCTCTGTCCCCAGACGCTACGTCTCCAACAAGGGCAAGATCAAGATTTACGAGTTGCATCACTTCTCCGATGCAAGTACATCTGGCTACGGTCAGGTTACCTACCTGCGAACCATCGATGAGCTTGGACACATCTGTTCGGGTCTCGTGATCAGCAAGGCGAAGGTGACGCCCAAGCGGGCAGTCACGATCCCGCGGCTCGAGCTGACCGCGGCGGTCCTCTCCGTGAAGGTCGCGAGCTTCTTGGACAAGAAGCTCAGCATCCGTAACCTGCGCCACTTCTTCTGGACCGACAGCATGGTCGTGCTCGGTTATATCGGCAATGAGAGCAGAAGGTTTCAAGTTTTCGTTGCTAACCGAGTTCAACAGATACGGGAACACACTGTCCCGGACCAATGGAGATTCGTGAAATCTGAGGACAATCCAGCAGATCTGGCCTCCCGTGGCCTCGATGCAAGTGAGCTCAAGAACTGTGACCTCTGGTGGCACGGACCCAAGTTCTTGATGGATTCGGCAGAGCTCTCAGCAGAACCACGGTTCGTCGAGGTACAAGAAGACGATCCAGAGGTGAAGAAAACAAGAGTGTTGGTCACCAGCAGCCGACAAGACGACGCCAAGTTTGATCTGTCAAGCCGACTTGTTCCCTTTTCAAGCTGGTTCCGCGCCAAGAAGGCAGTAGCGATCTGCCTACGATACAGACGACGACTCCTGAACCGAATCAGGCAAAAGCGGACCTGCAGCACAACCACTGAAGGTATGGAGGAGAGCAAATCGCTGACAGACATGCCCATTGACACAGATGAGCTGAACGACGCAGAAGTGACCATTCTGAAGAACGTTCAGGAAGATGAATTCGAAGAGGAGTTGGTGAACCTGGCAACTCAAGAGGATCCGACGACAGATCGGAAACAAGTCAAGAAGCGGAGCAGCGTGCGCCGTCTGGACCCGTTTCTTGCCAGAGATGGACTCTTGCGAGTAGGCGGACGGCTGAGGAGAAGCGATCTGCCCCTGGAGACGGCACACCCTGTGATACTGCCAAAGGATCACCACGTCAGCCGCCTCATCATCGCGCACTTCAATGAAAAGACCAAGCACTCAGGCCGAACGATGACGCTGAGCGAGATTCGGCTGTCCGGATTTTGGATTCTTCACGGAAGAACGGCGGTATCTCGGTACATACAGAAGTGCGTCAAATGCATCAAGCTTAGAGGAACACCGTGCGGCCAGAAGATGGCAGACCTGCCGGAGGAGAGAGTGGGACAGATGGAACCGTTCACCTATTCCGGATGTGACTGTTTCGGACCCTTCATCATCAAAGAGCGTCGCAGCGAGCTGAAGAGATGGGGCATCGTGTTTACGTGCATGAGCTCGAGAGCCGTTCACCTCGAGACTCTGAACTCGCTGACTGCAGACGCTTTCATCAACGCCTACCGACGTTTTGTTAGCCGGAGGGGACCAGTCAGAAAGCTCTTCTGCGACAACGCCACGAATTTCATCGGTGGCGAGGGATACCTCATGGCAGCACTCAACGAGATGGACCGAGATCAGGTCAGGAGGACCATCCTGAAGGACAACTGCGACCTCGTGGAATTCGACCACATCACCCCACGGGCTAGTCACATGGGCGGCGCCTGGGAGCGCCAGATACGGTCTGTTCGCGCCGCTCTCAACAGCCTGTTCCAAGATGTGGGACTCCAGATCGACGACGAACTTCTTCGAACGGTCATGACAGAAGCCGAAGCCGTAGTTAACAGCCGCCCCCTGTCCTATGCATGCATGACTGACTCAGATGTAGTAGAGCCTATCACCCCTAGTCAACTACTCACCTTGAAACAGAAGGTAGTTCTCCCTCTGCCGGGGAACTTCGACCGCCCGGACCTGTACGTCAGACAACGCTGGAGGAGGGTCCAGTATCTCTCCAACCAGTTCTGGCTCCGCTGGAGGCGGGAGTTTCTGCCAACTCTCCAAGAGCGTCGCAAGTGGAACCGGACGGAGCAGAATCTCGAGCCAGGCGACGTCGTGATCATCGTCGACGCTGACGCCCCGCGATGCAGCTGGCCTCTGGGCCGCGTGGTTTCCACGTACCCGAGCAGTGATGGACTGGTACGAAGTGTCCGAGTGCGTATCGGCCGTGCTGAATATGACAGACCGATACACAAAGTCATCCGCATGCTGAAGTCGTAGGGTGATTCCCAGTCGAGGAGCCTTGTTTATTTTCCTTGCGTTCGTGTGCGCTGCGCAAGTTCCGGTGACAAAGTGTCATCGACACTATTGTGATAATGTGTCACAGTGACGCCGTGATCGATTTGTGACAGCGTGTTGTTGCTGCGAAATGTGAATCACGCGTGCCATTGTATAACAGACTGCGTTTTGTATATAGCAGACAACGTCTCTGCTATTCACGTTCTGTGTGGAAAAGTGATGGAAAATTAGGTATAAGTACCGTAATTTTGGGGAGCCATGTTCCCGCCCCAGCGGCTAACTGCATCAAGATATACGGATTTGTTTTTGACTGGCATTTGTCTTTCAGGTGTCGCATATGTGTGCCTTGCCTCTGATAGCTGACTACTGTGCTTGGTAGCCACATTGACTGCACGCACGACCACTCACAATCCCGGACGAAGTGAGTCTCACTTATATCTCTTCGATAGGCACTACTGGCACTGGTTAGACAGCGCGATACTGTGTGATTGGATTATTTAATCAGCCAGTGTGGTATATTTAAACGAGCGGTGCTTAGAGTTTGAGTTCAGTTTCTTAGTAACCAACATGATCTGTTCGCTCGTTCATGTGCTACCCCCTACTGCGGCGATTGGTTATGTGCCGGATGTATTACACCTTTCGTCCGTTGTCCCCACAGTTATAACGGTCATCACGGTCTGCGACTACTGTGGGCCCACCGACTACAAGCCCTGATCACAATAAATCTTGTAGAACTCTGCCCTGGTAGTTTTTTCCTGTTGGCCGGATCAGGTACGTTCGCACAGTTACAGGTGAAACATTTGCATTCTTATTCCGTCACTGAACCGTGTTCTGGCTCGCACAGCGCCAATCACACGTTTCGCCCTCTGCAGACAGTGCATAGTCGAAACCGTGAACTGCGACACAGACGCTGCTGGTTGGCGCTATGTCATGCGTCGTCCGTCAGGCGGACCTCCGCCGCCTCCCAGTGGAGTGCCGGGCTGTCGGCGCCGCCCTCCGACGGAGCAGCGCCCTGCCCGGAGGAGCCGCGGTCGCCGCACACCAGCTGCCGGTAGATGGCGCGGTAGTAGCGGCTCGAGCCGGCGTAGATGACCGGGTTGATGACGGCCGACAGCCAGGCCAGCACTGAGGCCAGCACGTGCAGGGTCGGCACTCGCGTCTGTGGGCGGGACAGGGCGACCGACTCAGCTGGCAAGTCATGACTGGACTTCGCGCAGTGCTAAAAGCGGAGGAAATTTGGGAGGATGCCCACCATTGCACTGTTTACAGTACTTAAGCCAGCGTCAGCATAAAGCAAGCTAAGTGGGATGCCTGTCGATGACATGCCTGCTTTGAAGGTGGTTCGCATAACGACATCCTTTGCCATGATTTCCGGATGGCTCCTTACGTCATTGCTGTCGAAGATGTTGACCAGCATCAGGGGCACGAAGCAGACGACGAAGGCCACGAACACGGTCACCATCATGCCGGTGAGCCTGTAGTCCTCCCGGCGGCTCGACGGCTTCCGGTTGATGCTCTGCACCGAGCACGAGGCCGGCATACTGTGCAGCACAGAGAGAAAGGGGCACTGGACAGTAAGCGTAAAACGAGCGATCCAGAGATGATGGTTTTTTCTTTTGGGCGTGAAGCGCCTTACAATATTCTTTAGCTAGGCCCTTACGAGTACTAACTGAATACCTATGACCTTAATACATTAGCAGTGAAGGGAAATGATTAACAAGAAACGGAATGGTGCCCAATGTTCACATTTTATCCTTCATTCTTATTCACATCCACGATTTAAACGATAGGTATCACATTTAACAGTCCGACATGCTCATTGTCCCCACACCCCAGTGCCCACCGCTCTGTCCTCTGCCCAGGGTGCCCCTGCCACGGCTCCACGGTACAGCCACTCTCCCGTCCAGACCTGCTGCGTCCGGTGGTGATGCGCTCCCGCGTCGCCTTGCAGTAGATCATGAGGTAGCAGGCAGCGATCAGCAGGCACGGCACCAGGATGCCGGCCACGAACACGGCCTTCTTTGGCGACGAGCCATTCTTGGGCAGGATGGTGCAGGAGAAGGTGCGCTTCCGGAGTCCCATCTGCCCCCAGACGTCGGTGAGCGGCAGCAGCAGCGGCCCGAAACTGGCCGCAGATGGAACGAGGGGGGAGGGGGGGGGGGAGGCACAGTCGACCGCGGGCTCATCGTGGTCAGTGGATCGACAACCGTCACATAAATGTCAAGTTATTAGAAGTTTTTGATCTATTCGGCCGAAATTTTTACTTGGCTGTGTAGTGTTAACTTCTCTTGTGCATTGCAACACGGGAGCATTTTCGTATTTATTCCTCACATTGCAGGTTGCATTACCTGCACTCAAGTTTTTGCACTCAAGCTAACTGCCCCTTATCCACGCAGTTCTCAGCTCTCACCTGCAGATCCAGATGCAGGCCACCATAACAGCGATGTTTCGGAGCCGGTATACCTTTCCGTGCAGGTGTTTATGGCAGATGAGGATGTACCTGTGGTAAAAGAGGTTCTATTTAAGTTCTATAATGATTCATTATTATGGTGCACGATGCACACATGCAGAACCAGCTTAGTGAGCCAGACAACCGTCTTCAGGGAGTACTGTAACGCCAGTCAGGCCGTTGCTTAAGTCCAGCCGTTGTTACCGAATTAACGTCCCATGCCGTGATAAATCAAAGAAGTTTGAAAGTGGAAGTTTGTATGTTATTTAGTGTATATGCTCGCGTTCACATGTCTGTGTGTGTTTATATGCACGTTCCCTGCACTGACCTGTTTATGGCGATGGCGGTCATGCTGAGAAGCGAGGCGGCCACATTACCGTAGAAGAAGAACGGAAACAGCCGACACGCGACATCGCCCAAAACCCACGCCTCGTTTATGTATCTGTAACAATAACAGCAATGTTCTTTGTTATTATATTTTTAGAAGCTGTCCTGTTCTTCGTTTGTATCGTCATTTCGGCCGCGAGGGATTTCGAAAGTTTCCTTCATCTTCTTGTCATCTAACCGAACGATTCGTTACGTTTCAAATACTGCGCCGTAATAATGAACTGGCCGACTTGAGATTTTTTATCCGAGCATATTTCTTTTGTCGGAAGTCAGCTAACACTTTGCAACTACCTGACTACCTCGCCGTCACCGTAGCTCTTGGCCGTCTGTAGAAAAGCCTGGGAATAGGCGTGCGCTGCGGTACAGCATACCTTACGGCGCTCTATACGCTAGTGCCATCTATGAGCAATATCGTAAAACTAATGCGGATAGGTACTGAAACCCTCACGGTTTTAGGTAATGTGTGCAATGCCAGACTGCACTGGGTAGCGGGAATTCCCTAATCTTCACACCAAGTAGTCAACAAGCAATCATAGACGGAAATTGAATCATCATCATATTGAAAATTGAATCAATAAGAAATTGCGCAGTGCAGTAGGTATCATTGGCACACTTAGCGCCATGGCACTGATATGATAATAAATCCCCGCAGGCGACTACTGCTTATCGAGGAATGCGTTCGACCGCCTTATCTAGCATATAACAACATGATGCAGCATGACCCCAACACGACATCACGTGACCCCGAGTCAACCTTGACCTAGCTGACCTTGAGGCGGTGAGCGGGAGGTTGATGGCACAGAAGAGCAGATCGGAGACACACAGACTGAGCAGAAATAGAGTGGCAGCGGTGCTCAGTCGTCCGGGCATCCTCAGCGACTGGCGCAGCACTATCAGGGTCAGTAGGTTACCTGACAGAGACAGAGCACAGTACATCCTCAGCGACTGGCGCAGCACTATCAGGGTCAGCAGGTTACCTGACAGAGACAGAGCACAGTAGGTACTAACTTAGGCAACTGGCGCATTATCACCAGGGTCAGTAGGTTACCTGACATACCTACAGACTGGTTACCCGACAGTCTCAGAAACAGGCAACCTGGCGTAGAGATGGGTTACCTGACAGTGACACGAAAAGGTTATTTGGCGTAGTGACGTTATCTGGCGGGTCATCTGACGCAGAGACAGGTTATTTGACCAATGATCAGGAGGTTATCAGGCATAGTGACAGTGCCTTCGCACATGGTCTCTAAGCTCCCGCGAACAGTGAAAATGAACAACAGAAGCAGCCAGCTATGTAGGAACGCGCCACACGATTTTGTCGGATTTTGTTAACGATTTTGTCAATAACCGATTTTGTTAAACCAACCGATTCTGCCAATAACCATTGACTGACATTTCTGACATGCGGACGCACTCATACGCACTTCCGCGGGACGGCACGGCCTCACCTATGACGCCCACGACGATGAATATGACGCAGCACACGGCGGCGGTGACGGTGGCGGCTCGTGGGTAGTGCACCTGCGCCGGGTCAGGGCCGGGGCCGGTGTGGTTCAGGGTGCCACCCCCTCCCGGCAGGCGGGCCGCCGCTGCGGTGCTGTTGGCCTCCATCAGCTGTGGCCGCGGGGACCGCGCCGGGCACTGCTGAGACCGCGCCGGGACGCAGTCGGCGCGTGCCTGCGGTGACACGGCAGTCAGCTGTGATTGATTATCGACGACGTGTGCGTCTGGGGTCAGGAGAATGTATTGAAACATTGCAGGCAACTGATAACAGTTTTGTGATACGTTGATTGCTGGGGGAACTCGTAGTTCCTATGACAGTGACGCATTTAGCAATTTGTTTCATTGCTAATTCACTACGTACTAACTTCTTCGATAGTTGTGACATAATTTTGGTGATAGATAAGTCATAGGGGAGAGTGGGGCAATGGCGGACGGTGGGTAATGCCGGCCACCCATCTCTAGTGAGTACTTTGTCCATCACTAATCAGCTGATGTTGTTTACATTTCAATTGAGCGCCATTCTAGCACGTGGTGCAAGTTTGTCACGGTAGCTCCATTACTTTCATTTTTATAGCGTTTAATGTGTTTTTTGTATCTGATTTTTAATTTTTGTTGCATCTATTTGCTGACTGTGAAATGTGTTAACGCATTTTCAGAAGTGCTGCTTTGCAATGACCTTCAATTAAGCCTTTCTTAGGCGACTGCTGGATGTGAGGCGTTTGCGGCGCAATGCCTTTGACTGCTGCCTGCTTTCTTAAAATAAAGCTGACCTCGGGGTAATACCGGACACGTGTCCGGAATGACTCCACGCTATTTTGTTTGCGACTTCTGTCGTTAAAGCTCAACGTTTCGGGTTGCTGTGTTTACGGCTGTATTAGTTTGCTTGCTGTGTTTACGGTTGTGTTAGTTTGCTGCTCTGTTGGCGCCGCGCTGTTGTGTTGCAGCGAGTGCAGTGTTGTGTTGCAGTGCAGTGTACTGTTAACTGCTGAATACAGTTGTCGTTTCTTAATTCTCACTTAAATTTCCATCGAGAGAACGGTTTAAGGATGAATACCAGTGACGATATTTCGACTTTTGTGCTATTGCACTTAGTGGCCGGCATTACCCCTCGCTTTTTTGCACCTCCATTTTTCACCACATTTTTGCGTAGGCTCTGAATCTGTCATCAGTGATCTGAGATACTAAAACTGGGTGCTATCTGAAAGCCTATTCCTTTGGCTATAACCACAGTCAAAATCACCATAAAATAGCTTCAAATAGCTAAGCTATTGAGCAAAATGCTTATTGTGTCGCCATTGCCCCACTCTCCCCTATTGATATTGTGAACTCTTCAATATCTTCTCAGTAATAGTGATCTGGCTTTGACGCAGCTCGAACATCAAATCCTAGACCCGTCTCTCTTTCCCGGAACTTTGAACTGGCAATGAACTTGATCAAATACCTAGGTACCTACTTGTCATTGGTAAACTCATTCTGTGCCATTACATCATTCTACTTTTTTCAAAAGCAAAATATCGACATATTAGATAATCAAACGGCTCTTCAGCTACAGATTCCTCTAGACCGTATGACGGAACAGTTCATCCACATCCGAATGAGTCATTGTTATGGCTCCTTTGGCCCACCCAAGCGCGTCTCTCCTCGCTTGTCATCAATACATGCGAGTTTCTTTATCCTAGTGGCATTTGTTGACCCCATATCCTGAACATGCAAACAGCAAGTACATAGTCCACATTCTCAGCATGTTTTACTGTGAGAAGTGGGACCGCGGACTGCGGACTTCGCTCCCGTCTCACCGGACGCAGGCTGCGGCTCTCACTGCAGGCGCTTGGCTAACTCACGCCTTGTCTCACGCCGCAGCGTTCAAAAGCAGACGGGATTATCACCGATCTCCAGAGCTCCCTTTTATTCCTGAATGTGTGGATTCTATGCCCTTCCCTCTCCTCTCGGTTGCTCTCCATTGGCGGCCGTTTGCCTCTGCCTAAGAATCGGCTGACCTGACCCGGGGGAGGTCTGTTCCCTCCTGGTCGTGTGCGACTGTCTGCAGAGTCGGCTGACCTGACCCGGGGAATTCTGTTCCCTCTTGGTCGTAACGCGACTGTCACAGAGTCGGCTGACCTGACCTGACCTGGGTGAAGTGGACCTGTCTACTGGTCGGTTGACCATACCTCATACCTGACCTGGGTCAATCCGTTGGCCACTTGAGCGACCCTAAGTGGACCGGTCCGTGATTACAGACTGCTCTGCCGTTCCACGACCCTCTGACTGCGTCTTACCCGCCTCTGTTCTTTGGACGAATAACGTGAACTCGACCGACAGGTTCCCCGTGCCTCGTGGCATTTATGTTCTCTGAAGGGAGCGCAGTTGTGCTTTCATTAGTCAGTCGTTCTAGCTGTTCTTTTACGCACCTAACGTATCGACCATCGCATTGAAATGTATGCATCTAAACCTAATCACTATTCAAGTGGATAAGTCCAAGTGTTGTCGATTTTTATATATTGTCGAATCGAATCGTATATTGGTAGGCGGCTGTACCATTTTTATATCACTGTAAAAATGGTTACTTCCAAGCTGACATCGGGCGGCGTATTGCAACACTACTCGTCTTGCTCGATTTATCAGTGTTCCGGTTTCCTTCATCTCTGCTCCTTGTATGTCATGCACAAGTGTGTCCCGTGTGTGACCTTCAGACTGTTCGCTGTTGGTCGCTAAGTGCTCAGTGTTCAGCCCTGTGACTGACGGGAGAGCTGGACCGTGCTATTCGCCCGGGAGCCGTCTCACGTTCTCACGGTGAACGGTGCCCACCAGGACACCGCGCTAACCGCCAACGGCCGGGCGACAGGCGATAGGCGGCTTCATATACCCGATAGTCCAGTACCAGCGAGAGTTGCATGCCCTCCACTCCTCTCTCTCTCTCTCTCTCTCTCTCTCTCTCTCTCTCTCTCTCTCTCTCTCTCTCTCTCTCTCTCTATCTCTCTCTCTCTCTCTCTGCTTTCTCTCCTTTTTGTCCCATCCCCTCCCCTCTCTCCCCGGGTGTGCCGCGACCGTCGGTAGGCGGGGGAGACTGACGAGGTGACTGCCTACAGGTATGTGTGAACTGTGAAGGTCACGCAGTGTCAGTATATTATGTGCCCGGGTAAGAGGTTGGTGGCAGGGGCCTGTCCACGGACAACTTTGCCGTCGGTCATAATGGTGCATGGTAATGCCTACATCAAATATGCCTATAGAGTACATAAGTGTTATCATGTTTGATCACATTAGTCCGAGGCTGTTTCACGGACAACCGTCAGGTTAACAAGGATTCCTCGCCTATCGTGTATTTTGGTACTTCACCTTGCCCGATAAGATATGGTATGTGCTCACGGTCTATGTTGATTTTGTCAACTGACCCGAGGAGAGTGACCAAGGCATTTGACGTTATAACATAAGGAGCATATTTTTATTATCTTTCTTCGTTTATACCTCCAAGGCTAACTACGTTTCGAACAAAAACAAAGGTGATCAGGTGCATTGTATTTCATTCGATTTCAACGAAATTTTCTTTCATCGGCTCACAACGTAAAAGATCAAAAGCAGTTGATCGGTAGGTATGTGTGAAACATTATTACCTAGATAGCAAGCGTCTTACTTTACCAACCACTACTATCGGTTTGATTCAGCCAACCCCAGCCTAGCATACCTACAGGTAAGTACAATGATCGGAGCAAGACACCTTGAATTTAAGTACGCGCAACTGCACCTGCATTATGCAATGTGTACCCGTACTATTCCACTGCATCTTCCGGCCCGTTATCTCACATCTCTGGGCGATAATTACATACCTGCCGCGGCGCACCTCAGCCGCCGGTGCGTGGGAGCTGGCTCACCTGGTCCGCACGGAGGTCCTCGGCACGGGCCGTCCCGGATATGGTCCGACCGTGGTCTGACAGTGGTCCGAGTGTGGTCCGAGTGTGGTCCCTGGTCCGGGTGGCGGACCTCTCCGGAGCTCCCACCGCACTCGCCCGTCGCCGGTCGCCCGCCGCCGCTGTCTGCTACGGCCGGCAGTTGGCAGCCCTCGCAGTCCCGTCAGTTGGCAGCTCTGCTCGGCAGCCGGCCACCGACCGACGCGACGGCGGTGAGCGGGTGGAGGCGCTGCGGGAGCTATCTATTATTCTATTTCGTCAGGTGCGGGAGGGCACCACCATCACAGGCGTGACTCACTCGTGAACGGTGTCGCCGAAGGTCAAGAGTCAGTGGGGGGGGGGGGACTAGAGGTCAAGAGACAGGCGGGGTCACCAGGGGGCAGGAGTCAATGGGATCACTTGTGGTTAGGCCAGGGTGAGGTATGTAGCCTACAGGCTTATTTTATTTATTTATTGTGTTTGGGGCATTTCGGTGGCCTGCAGGTTTGAACGATCCGTACAGTGAGTGGGTGATGATAACTTAGCTGGATCTATGAGCTCTCTGCTGAGGGTGCGAGCTCACATCTGTGAGCTCACTGCAGGTCTGATGAGCTGTCAGCTGGGCCGGTCAGCTGACAGCTCTCAGCTGGGCTCTCAGCAGTCGTATCACAGCTGGGTCGGCGGTGAACCCACAGCTGCGGCACAGTTAAACGCCAGCTGGGTCGGCGGTGAGCCCTCGATAGAGCACTTCATGGGCCGGATAAATCCGTTATCCACGGATAAATCCGCGGACCGGATAGGATTGGATTCTAAATTTGTTAAAAAAGAACGGATATGGGCGGGCCGGATTTGGGAATTGAAGGTTGAACCCGGATCAAAACGGATCAAAATTTTAACATTCAACATTGAAGTTAAAAATTAACCTAATGTGTTAAGCGGCAGCAGAGGTTTGATTAACCCTCGCATGTGTGCGGCGTTTGCCAGCTTCTAATGTGTAGGGGGGGGGGGTCGGTTGGACCCCCCCCCCCTTGCCGTTTGGCCCCTGATCGAGCTAGAGCTTCGCGGAAAAAACGAGCGTGTTGCCCGTGACGAGAGGAAGCCGATGATACCCAATTTTAAGGTCCTAGGTCATTGGTTGACCTTCCAGGTCAGGTCAATGACCCAAAGTCGGGAAAATCGGGACCTGTTAGAAAGTTGTAAAGTGTGGCTGCTAAGGGGTTTTTCGGGGTGCTGATCACGAATATCGTGTTAGTTTTGATCACAGATGATGTCTTGAAGCATTTAGACCAGGTCGGGTCAGGTCAGGTCAGGTCAACCAGTAGGCGTCGTGACGGGTATTCGTAGTACGTGTCAACCGCCTCTGACAGCTTCGTAACATGTTACAAAGTCACCAAAACTACTTCGTAAATGTTCAAATGGTTGCTAAATTCGAATTCAGCTCCAAAAACTAGCCTAGAAACATGTAAAACTCGAAAAAGTGACCCGAGGTCACCCGAGGTCACCAAAGGTCAATGACCTGACCTGACCTTCAGGTGACCTTGACACACACGGGAGTAACATCAAATCACATGTTTGAACGTTTGAAACCACGAAAAGCTTGCAAACACGCGGCTAGTGCGAGCCGACATACGCGAAATCGCGATTCCGGCCAAACATGGTCTCGGAAAAGAGGTCACAGGTCAAAGGTCATTTGGGTCAGGGTCATGAAATTTTCAGGGTAGGTGTCAAATTGATCAATGCGAGGGTACTGAAAGTTTCGTCGCGATCGGCCGCTTTTTACGCGAGTTATTCGCGAAAAACCATGGGGGGGGGTCCATCCGACCCCCCCCCTACACATGCGAGGGTTAAAGTAATAGGCATCATTTTATGACACTCACTTGTCATAAGACTTGTATGGCTGTCTGGTCCCTTAGATTGACTTTGTTAGTCCAGTTTTGGGTGAAACCAGTTATTGGTGAAACGGATTATTACGGATATTTTTTGGAAGTTTGGCTGCAATACGGGCCATGGGTGGGCCGGATTCTGATATTCAAAGAAAGGCGGATAATGGGCGGATCTGGATATGACTTGCCGGATATGGGCCGGGCCGGATCCTAAAAAGCCTATCCGTGAAGTGCTCTAGCCCTCGACTGCATAGGTTGCGGTCAGATCCCAGCTGAGTTCCCGATTGGGCAGCGGTAAGACACCAGCTGGCCCGGCTGGGTCGGCGGCGAGCCCTCAGCTGGGTCGCGATCAGATCACAGCTGGGCCTGGCTCGCAGTCAGACGGCATGGTTTGGTCGGTGGTGAGTGCTCAGCTATAGATCGCAGTTAGGCGCCAGCTGGGTCTGCGCCCATTCGTCTCCGGCTGTGACACGGCTGCCGGGCGGTCTGACCGCCCCCGCAGTGACGTCCCCAGCGTCACTGACGGGCGGCTCCGGCCAACTGACGTCCCGGGGGCGGGTATAGATGATGGAGCGCCATCACTGCTGTTTTGGACCGGCCAGCAGGCCTCCGGGACTGACGGAGCACCATGATGAATGATCAATCACTTTCGGACGGGCACTGGGGTTGGGGGGTGGGGAGGGTGAGGGAACTGGTGTCAGGTGTGAGTGCTGGATTTAACGGAAGGAACGTGAGACGTATCGGTGAGCCTGACTAGTGGTGTTGGACCCACTGGGCCGTACCTTTTGCCGGCGAAATAATGCGTTGAGTTGGGATCACTGGCTGATGCAATTGAAAGCGAGTCGACCTCGCACCTATTGCTGTTGGATATTTTACTCATGTATTGATAATCTCCGGACAGCTTTTACGGCTGTATGTGCGTGTGTGCGATTAAAGTGGCAGAGAAATTATTTTGGCAAACCAAAGTCGGGCCTTTTTGTAGGAGTATTTCAGCGACAGCGTGTATGTTTACTTCTCAAACTCAGGGTTCAGTATTCGTTTTGTTCACACTTAGCACAATGGTACATCGTCATCAAGCAGCTTGGACATAATAACATGAATTAAACATTTCATTCTCGCTCACAAATAAGTATACAGTCAATCAATGTTATCTCTTCATGACCAACAGAAGCCTCATTTTACTGGCGTCAGATAATATAAGCAATCTCGTATTGCTCGTCTTAGGTAGGTACCCGTTGTCCATAAAGCATTTTACAATAGCACTGCGTCAGGCGCCTGCAACTTTTGCAACACTGAAGATGACCGACAGATCCATGCCGTTGTGATCAGCTGCTCAGCTCCCGACATTCGAGTGTGGTATGCGTAGGCTCGCGGTCCCTGCCGTGCACCAGTGTCCAATGTCTATTGCTGCGTGCCGTGTTCTCGTGTCATTTAGTGCTTCAGTCGGTCAGTCAGCCAGGCAAGAAGGCATGCTAGGCGGACTGCAGCGCCGCCTACATCTCCGTGGTGGAGGGATACTTGTTTTCCGAGTGCACGGACGCCGTCTCGGCCTCCCCGATACTGACCGAGTCGTCCGACTGGAACGCCCGGTTCCGCTGACCCCCTGGCGGCGGCGGCTGGAACTCGTGGTTCGCCCGGCCGCCGCCAGTGGTGTCCGTGACGTCGGCCGACAGGGACCGCTGGTGTGCGCCGCCCTCTGTCCGGGTCGCCGGCCCGTCCATGTGGTGCAGGCTGATGGCCTCGTTGAGCTCCACGGTGTCCCTCCGGTGTCGCGGCTGGCGGATGGCGGCCGCCTGCGCCAGGGCCGAGGCGCTGCGCGGCTGATAGCGCTGCAGGTGCGCCGTCGACTCACCGAGCGCCGAGGCACTGCGGTCGCGGTAGCGGCGCAGGTGCGGCAGCGCGCCCAGGCCGCTTACCTCGCGGGTGATGAGCAGCACGCGCGGCACGTGCACCACCACCAGTGACAGGCTGGCCAGCACCACCAGGCCGAGACAGAGCTGCGGCGCGGCCGAGTCGCTGTCCAGCAGCGGCACGCCCAAGTAGTAGAGCGTCAGCGCGCCCGACCACAGCAGCACGGCCAGACATGTGTAGACGGCCGTCAGCGGGCCCTCGCAGTAGTTGCGGCCGCACAGCGCAACCCACGGGTTCAGCACGAACTGGAGCACCTGCAGCAGCAGCACGTAGCCGAGCGCGGCCAGCTGCTGCTGCGGCGAGTGGTGGCAGCGCGCCGGCTGCGGCTGCGGGCCGCCGGTGTCGCTGGCGGCCGACCACTGCAGCGTCAGCAGCCGCTCCGTGGACATCCCCACCTGCACCAGGAAGATGAAGAAGCACAGCGTGCTCTGCAGCATACCGCTTACGTGGCCAAAGTCCCTGCGACAACAAAAAGACAGGATAGGTGTCCGACGGTGTAATCATGCTGCTGAGGCTATACGAAATAATATTTGGGTAGGCTTTGGTGGCGAAACAGAAACAGAATAACAGATCCTCACAGCTCATCTGAACTATTTCAAACGGTCATCTTATCCCCTTTCCACCAGAGCGCAGAGACCCATCCCATGCCAAAATCGCAAAAAGACCCTCCCCTCACTGACCCTCGTGTGGTGTGCGCGGCCGCCAGGCAGAGCGCCCTGCTGAGCAGCACAGAGAGCGGCGCGGCCAGTCCCAGGGCGGGCGCCTGCAGTCGCAGGGCGCACACCAGTCGGCCGCGGCGCAGGAAGAAGGGTACAGTGGCGGCGTACTGGAGCAGCGTGGCGGCCACGAGCAGCGCCATCCAGCCCTGGCCGTGCTCCAGCCGGCGGCAGCTGGCCGCCCAGTAGAAGCACAGGAAGCAGAGGCAGGCCAGCGCGCCGACGGCTGCCAGCGTGGCCAGCACGGTGGTCCACACGCCGACCCGCCAGCGCACCGGCTGGGTGAACAGCGCCGGGCAGGGCTCCGGCGCGGCCGGGCCGGCCGGCGGCGGCAGCGCGGCCTCCGCGGAGAGGTGCAGGTGGCCGCCGGACCGCCAGCCGACCGGGCGCGCCCCGCCGCCACCCGCTAGGTACACGGTGATGTTCTCCGGGACCAGAGTCAGGTCCAGGCCGGCCACAAACTCCTGTCCCAGGTCCGAGTAAGTGTCGGCAGCGCGCCGCAGCGCCGCCGCCGCGTCACAGCCGGCCTCCGGACAGAGCCGCATCAGCTGCAGCTGCACCGTGCGCGCGTAGTTGTAGACGAGGCGGACCGCGTGGACGGCGGCCGGGTTGGGCACGAAGGGCGGAGGGAGCGCGGTGGGCGGCGCGGTCAGCTCCCCCGTCACGGGCAGCGTGCTGGAACTGAGTGGAGCGGTGCTCTGTGCGCCGAGACTCGCTGTGGTGGTGTCGGTGGGAGACGGCGGGTCCTGGGTCCGAGCAGAAGGGACAGGATGGGAAATGGTAGTCCGGTCTGCCGTCTCGGACGGTGAGCTTTCTGAGTTGGATACCGAGTCCAGAGTCGTGGGACGGGTAGTGGTGGTGTAGCTCTCTGCAGTGATTGTGGAGCTCTCATTAGTTTGAGTCGTCTTGAGTGGATTCGTAGTACTCGAAGCTTCATCGCCGTCTGTGCCCGCCCCGTGAGTTTCGATGCTTGGAGGCTTCATCGATGTGGGAGCCGATTCCGTGGCTTCAAAGCTATCCATTTCTATGCCTGCATCGGCAGAAGTCTCATGAACTTCAGCAGTGGTGTTCGCTGGAACGTATTTAGTGCTGGTTTCCCTTGGCAGTGTCGTCATAGTTTCAGTGTCCAAAACCTCCTCTTCGGAGGAAACGGACGGCACAGATTCAGTGCTTTCCAACTCTTCTTCTTGTACGCTTGACCGCGAATCACCATACATTTCCGCAGCTTCCTCACTGGAGTATTCTTTTGCCTCTAGACCGTCTGTTGTCCCTTCTCCAGGTTCCGTCGTCCACTCACGGACGTGACGGCTCAGTTTATCCATCACCGGCCACAGCCTCTCCACTGGCTCTGCCACACTCATCGCGCTCTCCTCTGTCGTCACTTCACCTCTCCATCCCACCCCGGCCGGTGCGGTGACCCAGCCGTCACTCACGACAGCCTCCCACGCCCCGGTGTCCGCCGCCGACCCTCTGAGCGCCTCAGTGAGCTCAGCCACCTCCGCAGCGGCGTCGAACGCCACCAGGGCGCCCTCGGGCACGTGACGCAGCTGCCCGGGCCGCTGCAGGCCCAGCACACAGCGCAGCCGGCCGAGCTGGCGCAGCTGCAGCTGGCTCAGCTCGAACGAGCCCACCAGACAGCTGCCGTCGGCCAGAGACGAGAGCTCTGAGAACGCCTCCAGCTGGCTGGGGACGGAGAGGGGAAGGGGAGGTCAGTGAACGAAGGAGCAGGGTAAGCGGTAGTGTGTACTTCGTTATTAAAAAACGGTTTTATTCCTGAAGCTTTGTGTTGCAGCAACATCACATTACGTCTGAACATACAGAGAAATTTATCAGTTGTGAACACTAGCAGCCACCAGTTGGGCGGCAGCTGTGCCGGCTACTGACCGTCCTGTGACGGTGACCCAGCGCGTCACACAGAGCCCCAGGTACTCGAGCCGCTCCACCAGGCCGGCGGCCCGCCCGCCGCGGTCGTCGGTGACCACGGTGACCGCTGTCCAGCCGAGCGCTGCCGCCAGGTCGGCCAGGGTCTCCGCCAGGGCGGCGCCACCGGCGGCCGGCACCACGGCACGCGTCACCGGCAGCTCGGCCAGCAGCGCCTCGGCGGCCACCGGGAGGGTAGGTGATAGAAACCCTGAGGGATTGGGGTCAGGTCACCGGCAGTGCGGGAGACAGAAACCCTGAGACACAGAGGTCAGGTCAGGTTACCGGCAGGGTAGGTGACAGAAAACCTGAGACGCAGAGGTCAGGTCAGGTTACCGGGAGTAGGACAGAACCCTGCAACATAAGGATAAAATAAGGTCAGTTTGGTCGTTAACGAGGCGTGGGGGGTCACCGATAGGGTAGGGGATAGAGACTGGGGCAATAGGCAGAGGCAGCAGGTGAGGTTATTGTCAAGTCCGGCCACGCCTCATGACTCGGCAAACACTGTCATTTGGAGAAGGAACATCTGATTTTTTGTTGTTGAAATTTTGTTCGAATGACTGTTGTCCTATTATCACTAAGATTATCCCCGGTGAGTCGGATGGTGGCATGGTTGTTGTGTTGGCCCTGTGTTATTCGCAACAAGCGCGGCTTTTTGGTGTACAAACTACATACAGTAAGTAGTAACTAGATCGAAGCTCACGATTACCTTGTGGGTCCACCTGTCAAGGGAATTGAAAACGACCCAGCTCCGTTTAGTCATTCAACAAATGACGCTAAAAGTATCAACGCCTGCATCTAGGCTGTGCCGCATGTCCCGAATCAGTTCAGTTAGCTGTCGACAGATGTCGCTAGTAGTGTTGACGCCTGCATCTAGGCTGTGCCGTAAGTCTCGAAGGCGCGGACGACGCTCGAAAGTTATTATGCAACGGTGGCCGGTGGCGCTGACGTGAGCTGGCGACTCTGCCGTAAAAACAGAAAGGCTACACTAGAGCATCTGCCCTAGTAGGGGAGAGTGGGGTAATTTGGCCGCTTTTTTTAGAAAACGATGTAACTAAAAATCGACCACACATTTCTGCATTTTCTCAACGCTGACAGGTGTGGCATACATTTTACTTTCTTGGACAGTAAACTTGAAATGATTGAGTAACTACTTATATTGAAATTGTGGCGTATTACAAAGGTCTGCAAAGCGGCCAAATTGCCCCGCTAGCAGGGTTATTTGGCCGGGGGTGTGGGGCAATTTGGCCGGTGTTAGTTTGAGGCCATGATTTTTGTAATAGGCGAGTCAGCTTCACATTCAGCAATGACGTGTGTCCTGCGACGCATTTGAAGCATTTTGGAGGTTGACTCAGCCGTCACAGAGGTCGAAAATAGTGAAAATAGCGGCTCTAGATGCGATGACAGTTTTTTACGAATAACTTTTGAAGTAATCAAGGTAGGCCAAAACTAAAAGTACCATCGTAATTCTCTCGTCATTCCGCATCGAAACATGTATGTGTTGACCTCGAGCGGTCAAGGTCAAAGGTTGGCTTCAGGTCACGTTACCTCAGTTCGCTTGACCTCAAGGTTACGTGAGTTCAAGGTCATCATGTATATCATTCGATGCGCCTTGACGAGATGAACACAATGAGACCTCTTGCGCGGCTGTATCTTTTTTCTATAAGTATTTATTAGCAAAAAAGCGTTAGGTAACCTTTGATGACGTCACATGCCCTTACAGCTGTCCAATAGGAAATATGGCATCAAGGTAGTCAAAGCTGGTCATGAATTATGTTCTTTATGGTATAATTGACCATGACAACTCGGCTGTCCCAGCATAGTGACTATCACTATGAGCGCACCGGCCAAGTTGCCCCGCTAGTCCCGGCCAAATAACCCCACATTGCCATTCTGAAAATTTTTGTCTATAAAGTCGTCATGTCATGGCTGTACAGAACTAGATGAAATTGCTCTTGGAAGTTTGGAACCGCTGAACATCCTCAAAAATGGCGCTATAATGTTGGAATTCGTTTACAGCCCAAATACTACATGTTATACAAATTTTTAAACGGAAGTAAAAGTTACCATTTTCTAACGTAATTCACCTTTTATTAATTTTGAATAAAACTAAGAGGGGGAAAGTTTTGACATTTGTTCTCGAGCTAGTTCTGCCGATGACAAATGAATAGAGACTTAAGTTGTTTCATTCACTTTTATCAGCTCTCGTACAGGTGGGGGCGGCCAATTTACACCACCGGCCAAATTACCCCACTCTCCCCTACACAGACTTCTCTATATAGAGAAGTCTGTGCCACTGCCTAGTACAGGGTGGACCAAAAAGGATGGAAACATTTTGAACTCGCATAAAATATGTGTTATTGCATGCAGGTGACTGAAAATGATATCAAACGAGAGTACATTTCGTGGAAATTCATAATGACATCTCTCTCATCTGCTTTCTCTCGTTTTCAGTCTCTCACAGCAAATGTTCGAAGAGGCCACTTTTGCGAGACAGGCAAAGAGCGGCCCGCCTGGCTGCTGACGCGATAGCCCGATGACACATGTCCGCTGGTTTGGCTCGCACAGACTTGGTGATCACTCTCTTCAGGTAACAGATGCCTTTAGAACCTTCCTTGTAGACCTGGCCTTGAGATGACACCACAGGAAAAAATCCATCGGGGTCAGGTCAGGTGATCAGACAGGCCAGTTCCAACAGGCACTGCGGGATATCAGCCGGTCACCAAAGTGGTTCGCGCTCCACTTGAGCGGTGTTTCGCGATGTGAGGAGGCGCACCATCTGGCTGGAATCACAGGAGGTCCATGAGACTGCCATACTTCTTTTGGGCTCACCTCAACAACTTCTTTAGCGTCGCTTGGTAGCGCTTTTGGTCGTCAGCCACGGTGTTGTCACTCCCATCCTCGAACCGAAGTGGAACTGGCCTGTCGTCTTCTCATCTGACCTATGGATTCATTTCCTGTGAAGTCATCTCAAGGGCCAGGTCTACAAGGAAGGTTATGTAGGCCTCTGTTATCTGAAGAGAGCGATCATCAAGGCTGTGCGAGTCATACCAGAGGACATGTGTCGTCGGGCTATCGCGTCAGCCGGCAGGCAGGCCGCTCTGTGCCTGTCTCGCAAATGTGGCCTCTTCGAACATTTGCTGTGAGAGACTGAAAACGAGAGAATGCAGATGAGAGAGACGTCATTGTGAATTTCCACGAAATGTTCTCTCGTTTGGTATCATTTTCAGTCTACTGCATGCAATAACACATATTTTATGCGAGTTTAAAATGTTTCCATCCTTTTTGGTCCACCCTGTACTATCGGTTGATTTTCTAGGTGAACGAGGAAGAGGTAGGTAGGTATAACATTGTCGCAATAACATTCCTAGGCATTTGTTATGCTTGATATTCAATTCAAACACTATTTCAATTGTTTGACGCTCGTAAGTTTACATCAAGAAAGACGTCGCTAGCGTAACACTAGTGCGCAGCTTTTTAGTGAGCATAAGCCCATGATTACCTATGCTCACTAAATTTTATTAGATGCTCACAGTCTCACTAGTGTCAAGTTGGCGACAAACCGTCTTTCCGATGCATACCTACTTACGAGCGTCAGACAAGGAACATCTAGCGCTGCATTGTCGTTTGCCTTTCACGTCTGTTGAAAATATACAACTAACAACCTTACAAGTTACAACATTCAAGAGTGGCAAGATGACTTTTTAAAGTCGTAAGGTAGGTACACTTTTAGCAAAAGTGGAACCATCGTAATACTTAGGTAGGTTGGTACAGTCGTGTACAGGTTGATGGTCCCCTACTCTTTATCCACCGGGTTCCTATGGCTCAGCATTGGCAGCAGCCGCCTGGTACCGGTAGGCTGTGCCGCATGACCCGAGAGTGAAGCGGCACAGTCTACCCACGCCGTTTGACATCGGCTCGGGTCGCCGGGTGGAGCGCTTTGTAGACCAGCTGTCACATCAGACCAGCGCGGGGGGAGGGGCTCGTCTCGGTGGTTGGCGTGGGCTGGGGAGTGGTGTGGGGCGTGTTGGTGGACCATGGGGGCTGGGCGGGTTGTGTGGTCACTTGCTGCATTGCACATTTTGCGTCGCTTAACCCGCGCCCTGATGGGGGGGGGCATTTTGGCCCCCCCCCCCTGTTGTTTTTCTTAAATAGCGAGAAAACGGCGGCGCGCAGCGCCGCCAAATTTTGGGTACCTTACCGGGCATCAATTTGACACCTTCACACAAAATTTCAAGTCACAGGTCACCTCAGGTCAGGAGTTATTGAGGTCAAACTGAGGTCATGTTCGAGCAAAAATGAGCAAAAAACATGACATCTTGAAACGCTCACCAATTCTACAGTTAACAAGCAATTTTAAAGTTCTTTATGTGGTTGTGTAGAGAAAAGACGGCGCTACAAAACTGCTATCTCAGATTTTCGAAATTTTGGGATTTTGAGCCCCAAAAATCAAAAAAATTGATTTTTTTAGAAAAACTCAAAAAATTTCCAAAAATATTTCGAATGTCGAAAAAAACCGGAATATATGTGATAGTCCCTGCGCTCTTCGATATACATACCAAATTTTAGATCGATACCTCTTTTTTTGGCCAAGTTATTGGGAAAAAACTGTTAAAAATTGATGACGTCAAATTTTTGAACTCAATTTTTAGCAGTTCTAGACCTCGTAGCGCAAAACGGAGACCACCATTTAGCTCCCCGTGACGAGCTGCATCGAATCGATACCCATTTTATGCAAAAATATCAACTTTGAAATTTGACCTAATTTGACCTGACCTTGACCTGACCTTGACCTGACCTTGACCAAAACGTGACCTAAGCTGGCCCTAAAGTCTGTCTGACCCACATAATCGCATTTGTCATGTAAAATGGACCATAAAACATGTATCACACGACACTTTCAAATTGTGACCCCCCAGTGACCTGACCTCTGTGACCTGACCTGGTATCAGTGACCTCAAATAGCAAAATATGTGTTTGAAGAACATTTCTCCATCGATGATTTTCAATGAAATGCATTTTACTCGATTTTACAACGCATTTCTTGAAATGCCTGTAAACGGTGAAAATTCGACCTTTGACCTGACCTGTGACGTCATCGGTTTGACCGAGGTCAATGAAATTGGGTCACAAGGTAGTTCCCCGCTGGGGCTATCCAACACCGTTTACCGCTTGTCGCTATGTTGCGTGGTTCTCGAGATCTGAGGGGGGGGGGCCAAAATGCCCCCCCCCATCAGACCGCGTTGCTCGGCAGACCCCATCTGGGCGCGGGTTAAAAATGGCATTCCTGTTTTTGCTAAGCACAATGCACGGAAGACCCAGAGAATATAATTTACTTGTGCATTGTGCAAAACGTGATTTGGCAAGGTATCGAGGCAACCATAGGTCTTGTGTCACACATATGCATGATATTTAGGCAATACGCTTATGAAAATGGTAGATTGATCGGATTGATCCTGGATGTCAATTCGTATGCTAAATGTCGACATGTAATAAATGAACGAACGAATGAATGAATCAATCAATCGACAATCGACATGTAGATATAAAACCGTATAAATGGCTCGCAACCACTAAAATCAAACCAGATCCTAACTCGGAAAAGCAGCCGGAGCCCCGATTAGGCTCGAACCGGGACTTCACGTTGAAAGTTTTGCCAATGATCCATCATCATTCCACCAAGCTAGAGCGACCGGCACCCGAAACCACAAAACATTCATTGACTTTGCTGCCGACCTCCCGGCCCCGCCGCCCGCCCGGCCAGACTTTGCCCCGGCCGTGGCCACCATCCGGTGTAGCTCAGCGTAGGAGTGCTAGACTGTCGAACTGACCGGTAGTGAGAGGCCCGGTTCGGGACGTTTCGCGTGCTGGATGTTTATTTCTGTGTCCGAGGCTATGCGATTAGTCCACTTTTCAGAAAGATTATTTGGTGACAGGTCTGTTTTCTTTCTTTGCTGCAATTCATGAGGAGACCGTATGGACCCTTACCTGTCCTTCCGCATCCCACTTGGGAGATGGGTGTTTGAACCCCCTGGGTTTTGTGAATATCTCTAAAGCGAATTTTTGGAGGGTGGATTACGATCGGTTCTATGCGACAAGTGACCACACACACCCAGCCCCAGGTCCGCTCACTCCCTCCCCACATCACCCCCGCCCCACACCACACTCCAGCCCGCCTCATCCACCGAGCCGAGCTAAATAGACAGGCCTGACCTTTACCCCCCCTCCCCCCAGCCGGTGTAACGCAGCGTCCGGTCAAATCGCTCTACCAGGCGACCCGAGCCGGTGTCATACAGTGTGGGTACTGGGTAGGCTGTGCCGCTTCACTCTCGGGTCATGCGGCACAGCCTACCGGTATCAGGCGGCTGCTGCCAATGCTGAGCCATAGGAACCCGGTGGATAAAGAGTAGGGGACCATCAACCTGTACACGACTGTACTACCTCTACCTACACAACATGCATATTGTATTCGGCCATAAGATGTGTCTTGCCATTTCTTGGCGACATCTATTTCGGTGGTTTGCTGTCAGCTATAACTGTTGTTTCAGTAACATGGGCGTTAACCCTCGCCCTGGCAGGGGGGGGGGGTCGATGCGACCCCCCCCTAAGGTTTTTCGAAGATAGCGTAAAAACGGCGGCGCGCAGCGCCGCCAAATTTGGCACAGCCTATGGGGCAACCTTTTTACATATGACCTGAAAATTTCAGGTCCGGGTGACCTTAGGTCAGGTCACCAGGTCAGAAAAACCGGTACAAGGTCATGGTCAAATTTCAAATTTCTTTTTGCACCTGTCCAACTCACAGTTTTGCACTGATTTCCTTCAAACTTTCAGGATGTGCTAAGTTCACCGAGTTGTATAACATATAGTTCGGGTTTTTTTAGGTCACTGACCTGAGGTCAGTTAGAGGTCATTACGTCGTAATGTTAAGCCTATGGGAAAATACTAAATTCGGAAAATACTGGAGATATCCGCTTCGTTCTATCACTTTTGCGCTTTGAAACCACAGTACTTAACAGCAGGTCACTTGGTGCTTCTTTGTTTGGTGTACTTATCCATGGGTCAGGTCAAATGAGGTCAACTGAGGTCAAATGACGTTTTTTGCCAATAACTTGGCACATAATGACGCTAGAGCTTAAAAATGGTACCATTGTGTTCCTGGTGATCAGCCGAATCGAATGATATGCGATATGATGCAATTTGGTTAACTTTAACTTAATTTATTAATTTAAGTTTACTTAAAATTTAAGAAAAACTTTAAGTACACTTAAGCTAGATAAAAAGTACATCATTCGACGCGCCTTGACGTGCTGAGTTCACTGGTGCTTTTCTTTTTGCTCTATCTTAATTAGATCAAAAGTTATAAGCGAAAAACTTTTGACCTGCTTTTAGCGAAATTTTTACATTTATACCCCCCAAAACCCCCCTAAATATTGACCTAGAGCAACCAAATTTGCACAGGGGCGAGAACTCCAGGGGGCCCACCTACCTGCCGAATTTGGTGTTTCTAGGTGCCATAGGAGCCAATCGCGAGGGGGGGGTCGCATCGACCCCCCCTGCCAGGCCGTGTTATGAAAAATGCCCTGCCAGGGCGAGGGTTAAAAGTAGTCCAATAACCAATCAGCAAATAGCGGTGTGGGCGTCAGAGCAGCAGCGGGCTGGAATCGCGTGACTGACTGTGGCGGCCACCACGGCCCGGCACCACGGCTGTGTGACGCACCGTTCGGCAGAGGGTACCTATGGACGGGGGGCGGTGTCGGCCCAACTGTCCGTGTCAGAGACCGGCCGATTGTCCTGCACGGCCCACTCGGCGCTCAGAGGACACTCGGCACTCGCGGCCGGCGTCTAGAGGGCACGGCAGACGGCAGTGTGACACTGGACGTCTAGGGGACATGGCTGTCCGTACGACAGTCGGCGCCCAGAGAACACAAGTGACGGATCGGACGGATCGCTAACGCGCCGAACACGACAAAAGAGAATACAAATACGAAGAGAGAGAGAGAGAGAGAGAGAGAGAGAGAGAGAGAGAGAGAGAGAGAGAGAGAGAGAGAGAGAGAGAGAGAGAGAGAGAGAGAGAGAGAGAGAGAGAGAGGGGGGGGGGAATAAGCGGCCTGCCCACCTGCGAACGCTCCCTCGACGCAGGCCGGGTCGGCGCCATCCGTGTAGGCCTGTGTGGTGATGACCGTGGCCAAAGACGAGGAGGTCGTGCAGATCGGGTACGAGCGGAGACCTGGCACAAGGGGAGAGGTCACCGCGGGGTCGCCACAGGTCACCGTGGGGTCACCGTGGCCAGAGACCTGGGGACCCGTCACAGACGGAGAGGGGACGCCGTGGGGCACTTTGACCGAAGCATCGCGTCCGTATATGTGAGAGTTTATTACGCGTGACTATTACACCTATTGACCTCATATTGTTTTATGAATCCTAGTTTTACCCATGTTTCACTAATCTTTGCTAGTTTCTTGGAATAGGAGGTTTCCAATGACACGCTACCACTGCAATTGTTACCCTGAGAACGCCTGCAGGTCACACTGAGCACGCCCGGGTACGTACCGAGCACGCCGGCCTGGAGCACGCCGCGCGCGTTGACCCGTCGGACGGCCCACTCGGCGGCCACCTCCAGCTGGCGGGCGAACGGGCCGACGGACGTGCAGTCGTCGCCGCCCAGGTACGGAAACAGACCTGCGGCGGACGATGGACGGGCGTCACACATAGTACAATACAGCCGCCGCCCAGGTACGGAAACAGGCCTGCGGGCTGCGGCGGCCGACGGACGGCCGTCACAGATAGGTACCCACACTGTACCTATTACAGCCAGTACCCACGGCACAGCGGGCGGCGCAACCGAGGCTGTCCTGGTAGTGACATGTTTAGCAGCAGGGCAGATGTAATAAAATTGTGTAAACCTTTACAACGAATTAACCTTTGGCCCATAGGCATTTTAGCATATGATGCAGCGTATGTTTCCATTGTTTTGGATTTTAAAAAGGATATGCAAATTTGCTAAGGGCAGGACACGAATGACTAAGGTATTTTTGGGTGGAGGACAAAGTGTGACAATCGGTGTCAAAAGAAATCTCTCTTAGGAGCTACCAGGGAGCATTGCTTTTCCCCGGACCTGTGCCACGTGCTGTGCGAGCGTTGACGAATGATAATCACCATTTATGACGAGGTCACCAGACACGAGGCTGTCACCGGCCCGGCACCTGTCCCTCTCCGCCGCGCCTGGCACCAGCACTGTCACCAACACCAACACCAGCACCAGCCACCTGGCAGGACCAGCCACCACCGGGCGTCGGGTGGCCCCGCGGCGGGGCGGCACCATCGCGGCGTGGCGCGGCCGACACACCCAGGGCCGGCTGCACCGCACCCGGGCGCGGCCGGTGCCGCTCTGCTGCCCCCGGTGGCCTATTCTCCCACACACCGGCCCCCTCTGCCCCTCCCGGCCCCTCCCGGCCGGTCTCATCACAGCACCAAACGGCCAATCCCATTACGGGCATTGATTTTGGAAATCCCGCGTCGGCCGGCGCCGCTCGACCGGCGCCCGGTGACAGCCGCTGACAGCAGGTGACAGTCGCCGTGTGACGGCTGTCATCGGCTCAGACAGCTCGGCAGCAGAGGCAGCCGAGCTGATCCAATGTGAAGCCCCACTGTGCACGGAATCGTCACGCCCTGTGCAGCCAGACGGCTAGCATAGCCCTAAAATCAGATCGTTTACCAACCATTGATCATCAATGCTACGCATATGAGCTGTGCGTACCAGACTAGGATGGACGACGAGAGTTTTCCCCACATTGGATGTTTCGTGTGTTCCCGAGACCTCGAGAATTGTTTGTCGCCCTTGTTATATAGGTATGCGTGACGCTTCGTATTTCGTAAGCTATAGGCATCAAGTTCGGTGTTAAAAGTTATCTGCCACGCCACTACGTCACGTCTTTAGTTTTACATACGGCAGAGTTTGGGTGCACCCGGTCGTTCTACACGGAATAACTACCTACATTAGGCGCAGTTCAACTGACGGTTATCCTATCGCGCTGTGTCCGGAGCGGGAGCCGTCCCAGACCGGCCGTCGGCCGTCGGCTGTCGCAGCCAGCGCCCCTGGGGGGAAGGAAGCGGTGGGGAGGGGAGGGGCGACACCCGCTCGGCACGGGACCGTTCCCTCTTCACGCATTCGGTCCGTTTGTGCTGGCTCTGTGGCTGATTCGTCCAACTGGATCGACGCGACGGTTGAAATACATGCCATACCTTCAAGAGGTACACACTAATCACTATACCTACACACTACCCGTCGCTCCAGTAAACTACTCTACATACATTACATAGCCTTCCTGCTAAGTACGAGTGCCAGCATCGCACCCATTGTGCTACCCCGGTGCATTTAATTTTGATGAATCGGCTGTTAAATGTTCCGCGCTTATCGGAGGGTGTTCACAGGCACCGCACACTGCTGCGTGCGGTGTGTGCGGTACGTCCAGCAAGCGTGGGGGTAGGGGATGGGTAGGCGGTTCTGACGTCACGGCTGCGTGCGGTGGACGGTCCGCTGTGGCCAGTCCCGACCGGCCACAGCGATCGCTGTGTGCGGTGACGGAAGGCTGACGTAGGGACGCGGTGGGCGGAGCTTCGAGGCTGTGTGCGGTCCGACCGCACACAGGGTCCGTGAACAGCCCTCGGACAGTCCACCGCACGCAGCTGTGACGTCAGAGCCGCCTACTCATCCCCTACCCCCACGCCTGCTGCACACACTGCACACACCGCACGCAGCAGTGTGCGGTGCACGTGAACACTCCTTGGGAGACCATGAATAAACTCGATGTCTACCGTTCTCCTAAAGAATGTTGTGTTCCTGTATGTAATATGTATACAGTATGCGTAGGGGAGAGTGGTGCAGGAGGCCCCCCCTTAAGCTCAGTTGCTATTTTTAGACAACTGATAATATTTAAGAGCTAACGTGTGCATGCGCTGTGAGCATGCATCATTTTCCCATACATATTTGCATTCAAAATGAATCTAGGGGGTACACAAACCGTAAACTTTAACATTTTGGAAAAAGTTGCAAAAGGGCCTCTTACACTATGGGTATGGTAAGAAGCCCCCCCCCCTCGGGCGTTTAACAAGGCAAGTCGACTTGTAAAAGACGTTTTGCGAACACAGCTGCAAGGCCTTTTATTTCGAAAAGCTAAGCAAATACGGTGTTATCGAAACCAATAACACTTCCAAAGCGCTCGAACAATGCGAAAACTAGCACAACCAAACGCTGATGACCAACGAAAATTGTACCTTTTACCTCTAGAAAAAGAAACAGAAAAAAAGAAACAAAAACAAACTCCTTGAAAAAAGAATGCCACGCCTGCCGCAGGTGCAGGCGTTTTAGCATCGGGGGCGTTTTTATCGGGGGGGGGGGGGGGCGTTTTATAATCCTCGAAGGGAGGGCCTCTTAAAAAAATGCAGTGTTTTAACGTCACAATATTCATGGTTTATGAGACATTTGCAGAGCACCAGAACATGGTCTATTCTGAAGCTAACATGTGACAATTTCGATGAGATAAGATTGCATTTGATAGTCATTGTTTTTTCAGATATATAAGGGTGATAAAGATGCATATATCTAGCAAGTAAAGGGGCAAAAACAGAAACAGGCTTACCAAAAGTCGCTGCGACGCACCTGATACCTCAGGTTTCGTGAGTTGTTGTTTCAAGAGGGCTTCTGCTTTACAAGAACATTAAAAAATAAATAACATTATTGGTTTGGTAAAAAAAAGCGATGGGGCCTCTTACCGACCCTGGGCGTCTTACACGGATCTCCCCTACAATATGCATATCCACGTCCTTATCTGTGACTTGGTACATATATGCACAGATCAATTCACAATACACATCTGTTCTGATCACTATCCTCTGGCTGGCCACTGCCTCACACGTCTCCCGGTGCTCCCCCGTGCCACGCGCGCTCACTCATAACACAAGACGTTCGTCTTGTGTTGCCCGGTTTGGTATTTATTGGCTGAGAAAGTTGTGAAAATAACCTGAGTTTTCAACCCATCCGGCATTATTTGTGACTTGACCGTTAGTCAACAGGATCTATGTCAGACATAGCATTGTCCTTGTGGCTTGTTAGTTGTTGAACCGTCTGCAGTAGGTAGGTAGGTATGTACCTGAGCGCTGCAGTGGCATTCATATCGAAAGGCGAGTTTGGGTGAGACCTTACTGCGAACACTCCGATGTAACTGCAAGTAGCCGATCGGTACCGTGGCGTGGCCGGTGGCGTAAGACGAAACCTAAAGTGATATTTGAATGCGTACCTACTAATTGACCACCGCGTTCACAGCCGCTACGCTCCTTCGGCAAGAACTCTGTTCCTCAGAGAAACTCAGCAGTGCTGTGTCCTGCATGCTTCATGGAACGCCTCTCGTGTGCTGTTGTTTGTGTGGGTTTCGACGTCGTGACTAACGCAAGGCCCTATACAGACTCACGTGCACTGCAGAGCGCAGTGTAGCGTTATTGTAGTCTATGTCTGTATGGTGGCGACATCTATTTAGCGGAGAAAATGGCTTGCCATGTGGCGTCATCTAGAATGAGGGTAAACAATAGACGCGTTTACATAGGGTTTGTTGCAAGCTTATATCTCCGTCCGTGATGTTGCAAAAGATGCCAATGGTGCTGAACAATTTACAAAATGATCCCCTCTAAATATTTGAAGACCACTGCATCGAAATTATCGCCAAATTAACGAGCTAGAGCCTCGTCAAATACGCTATGGAAACCGGGTTAATTACACAAAAGTAAAAGAGTTGTCATGCATGGGATGTTTTCCATCAAAATAGACTGTAATTTAGAATAAGTGCTTTTTCATTGATATGAATAGCAAAAAAATTGTCAATCAGTTGAGCTGTTGCATGACTTTCGAAACCTGCAGGATTCACGTGCATAAAGTTGCATTATATTCACATTCAGATTCGCGTGCACATTCGCGGACCCCTCAGATTTGGCTCAAAATTGCATAGCCTATAGATTTCGAGCTCCTGATTGCGAAAATCATGTTTTTATTTCACGCCGTCAAGTGGTTCTCAAAATATTCACATTTGTATTACTGCTAACATATTCTGGAACGTAACCCTTATTGGAAAAATCGGACCCCACCAAACTTCTCAAAAACTCCTGAGATGAGGTAAACATAAGCGCTGATCCCAAAAACTAATTTTTACTTAACGCCGTCCCATAGTTTTCTCAGGGTGAGTATCTAAAGTTCAAGGTCGTTCAAGGTCAAGTGCCTTTTCTCACCTTTTGGCGCTAATTGACACGTGACAGCTTTATATTTATGATGGACATTCGCACTACCTCCTACAAAAACCATATACCCAAATCCAAGGGGCGTTGCTGTACCAAAATGCAAAAAAAAGCGTCAAGACCTCTTTCATTCAGCTAACAGTTAAATACAAGGGATATTCGAATTTGCCACACATAAAGCAAATTTGTCGGACCTGGTCGGACCCCTCCGATATCGTTCAAAATCTCAGGAATGATGCTCCTTGACCTCCTGAACATGAAAATGGTACTCCCTTTGAACGCCGTCAAGAACTTTTCCAGATATACGCATCCATGCACATTCAAATTGCATAGGTGTTGCATATGCACGTTCGGCGGACCCCTCCGATTTCGTTCAAAATCTCAGGAATGATGCTCCTTGACCTCCTGAACATGAAAATGGTACTCCCTTTGAACGCCGTCAAGAACTTTTCCAGATATACGCATCCATGCACATTCAAATTGCCTAGGCGTTGCATATGCACGTTCGGCGGACCCCTCCGATTTCGTTCAAAATCTCAGGAATGATGCTCCTTGACCTCCTGAACATGAAAATGGTACTCCCTTTGAACGCCGTCAAGAACTTTTCCAGATATACGCATCCATGCACATTCAAATTGCCTAGGTGTTGCATATGCACGTTTGGCGGACCCCTCCGATTTCGTTCAAAATCTCAGGAATGATGCTCCTTGACCTCCTGAACATGAAAATGGTACTCCCTTTGAACGTCGTCAAGAACTTTTCCAGATATACGAATCCATGCACATTCAAATTGCCTAGGTGTTGCATATGCACGTTCGGCGGACCCCTCCGATTTCGTTCAAAATCTCAGGAATGATGCTCCTTGACCTCCTGAACATGAAAATGGTACTCCCTTTGAACGCCGTCAAGAATTTTTCCAGATATACGCATCCATGCACATTCAAATTGCCTAGGTGTAGTATATGCACGTTCGGCGGACCCCTCCGATTTCGTTCAAAATCTCAGGAATGATGTTCCTTGACCTCCTGAACATGAAAATGGTACTCCCTTTGAACGCCGTCAAGAACTTTTCCAGATATACGCATCCATGCACA